TTACCACTTAACTGCATGAGCTTTCACAAGATCAGCAACTTTGAAGCATCTATGTCTTTCCTTGACATTTCAATTTTTAAAAATTTTCGTTTAATAAATTTTAACAGTTAAATTAACAATTTCTTAAATTTACAGATTGTCCTTGTCCAATACATTGAGTCTCTGTCACTCAGATACCGCCTTTACCATTTACAAGTACACACATGCATGACTCGCTTGTGACATATGATTTAATGATTTCCTTAAATTTTTTTGTTAGAGTTTATTAAAGATTTTTTCCCAGAATTACATAAAATTGCATCGTTATCTGCTGATCCATGACATTCTACAACATAATCCTTTTTGCCCTTTTAAATGAGGACTCACTCAGCCTATCTTCTCAAATTGATCTCTTTTTAACGAAGCAAAATACTAAGCTATAATTTTGAATATAAATCGATGTATAAAAGTTCTAAATTTAAACATTTAGGATTTTTTTTTAGGTTTAGCTCCATTTTACAGAGAGTTTGACTGCTGACTTTATTTGTAAATGGTTTGTGAATAACTGACCTGTGCCACAATCCGATTTTTGCAGTTTTTAATTCTAGATAAGTTTGAAATAAATCATGATACTTTAAAAAAAATCAAAACAAATTATTTGAATTCATTGTTAAAATATTTCTACCAAATTTGGATAACAAATGACATTAAATAAAAAAGATATGACAGTTGTCCACAAACTTTCAGAACAACCCTTGTTTACAAGATTAGGCCTAGAAAAAAAAATGTTTGTTTCCGCTTTCCCGACCGACCCTAATTTATAGTGCCGACCCTAAATATTTTTTTAATGCTTTTGTCCCATGATGTGCAAGATTTCAACCAGGGAATTATAGCCTCCAACTTTGCAAGCTTTTCAAGACAGAAAGAAGTTTGGGTCACCTTTCTATTATAAGTTAAGTCACAGTAATGCTTGAAAACACCATTTCTTTTGTCATTAATGTTACTTCTATACAAGTTTTGATTAAAGAAGCAAAAAAATTTTTTTTCAAAAAAAAAAAAATTGCCTACCTACCTACCCTATATTTTTTCAGCCTGAAAGCGGAAACAAACATATTATTTTTCTAGGCCTTATAGCCATGTTAGTGGAAATTCTCAGAGCAAAATTAATATAGTGTCCAATACACAAATTGAGTAATGTTAATATTTTGGGATCATTAACATTAAGTAATATCATAATGTTATAGATTTTTAATTACAATTTTATTTATCACACAAAAATGATTTAATTTGGTTTCCAAGGATTATATATATATTACCATGTAATCAAACTTAGGAATACATGTAGGCGAGAGGGTCCACCATGGGTTTTACAAAGAAAAACATCTTTAAAGATTTTTTTAAGAACAGCAATGCCATGGTTGGTCATACATGTATTTATATCGAAGCATCCTAAGGTATTGTAGATCTCAGTTTGTTCAAATCATGACCTGGTCCCTTGGATTAAGGTGGAGCAGCAATGGATGTTCAAAATTTAATACATGAATGCACAATAGGAAAAATCATATAAAGTCTTCTTTTTTAAGAACTGCAAAGCATCTTCATATAAAAACAGAGGAACTATTTTCAGGTTAAATATTTCGGTGTCCTCTTGGAATTTTATAAATGCAGTTACCAGTGCTTATTCTTCATATATTTGTTAATTTTTGAAATTAATTAAAAATCACATTCCCTAAGCTGCTCCCGTATATTTCTACCCCTCAGCTTGGCCTTTGCTGACTGGCAATTTTTCTAGTAAAATATATATAAAATCCATACATATTGAATCAATTTTGTGATCAATTTGTGATGTTTTATTTCAAACACAATAAAAATAATTATACATGTGTATTTAATGATATTACATTTTAAATTACATTTTGTGTTGTCCTACACACAAAAATTAAACACAAAATGTTGTAATAAAAAATTTAAGTTTTTACATTTTGCATTAATTTTGATGCAGAATGCAAAAATTCAAAAAGTGTTGTATCAATTTGTTTCATTACATTTTGGCAATGCATTGATATCAATGCAGAATGACACAATGCAAAATGTAACACTTGTATATCCCATAGTGTTTCATCATTTTGTGTTACACAGTAAAACACGGATATTGCGAATTCACGGATACAAATTCCTTATACCGATATAAAGAATTGCGTATATAGCTAAGTATTTTCATAGGTCCCAGTGACTGTTATAACCCAGTTTAACAATCTGTGCTAATCTCAACATAATTTTTTTTTCAATTGAGGGAAGGGTAGAAGGGGAATGGGGAAGGATGGGATAAGGGTGGGAAAATGAGGATGGAGGAATGGGCACAGAGAGGGTAAGGGTGGGAAATAGGGAGAAAGGGTAAAGGGAGGGAGGGAAGGGATGGGAAATGGGAAGGGAGAGGGTGGGAAGGGTAAAGGGAGGGTGGGAAGGGATGGGAAATGAGGAGGGAGAGGGTGGGAAGGGTAAAGGGAGGGAGGGTAAGGAATGGGAAATGGGGAGGGAGAGGGAGGGAAGGGATGGGAAATGGGGAGGGAGATGGTAGGTTAGGGTAAAGGGAGGGAGGGTAAGGGATGGGAAATGGGGAGGGAGAGGGTGAGAAGGGTAAAGGGAGGGAGGGTAAGGGATGGGAAATGGGGAGGGAGGGAAGGGATGGGAAATGGGGAGGGAGAGGGTAAGGGGAGGGAAGGGTAAAGGGAGGGAGGGTAAGGGATGGGAAATGGGGAGGGAGAGGGAGGGTAGGGTAAGGGGAGGGAGGGTAAGGGATGGGAAATGGGGAGGGAGAGGGAGGGTAGGGTAAGGGGAGGGAGGGTAAGGGATGGGAAATGGGGAGGGAGAGGGAGGGTAGGGTAAGGGGAGGGAGGGTAAGGGATGGGAAATGGGGAGGGAGAGGGAGGGTAGGGTAAGGGGAGGGAGGGAAGGGATGGGAAATGGGGAGGGAGAGGGAGGGAAGGGTAAGGGGAGGGAGGGTAAGGGATGGGAAATGGGGAGGGAGAGGGTGGGAGGGTTAGGGATGGGAAATGGGGAGGGAGAGGGTGGGAGGGTAAGGGATGGGAAATGGGGAGGGAGAGGGAGGGTAGGGTAAGGGGAGGGAGGGTAAGGGATGGGAAATGGGGAGGGAGAGGGAGGGAAGGGGAAGGGGAAGGAGGGTAAGGGATGGGAAATGGGGAGGGAGGGTAGGGTAAGGGGAGGGTAGGGTAAGGGGAAATGGGGAGGGAGAGGGAGGGAAGGGGAAGGGGAAGGAGGGTAAGGGATGGGAAATGGGGAGGGAGGGTAAGGGATGGGAAATGGGCAGGGAAGGTAAGGGATTGGAAAGGGGGAGGGAGAGGTGGGAAGGGTAAGGGGAGGGAGGGAAGGGATGGGAAATGGAGAGGGAGGGAGGGTAAGGGATGGGAAATGGGGAGGGAGATGGATGGGTATAGGGAGGAAGGGTAATGGTTGAAGTGAAAGGTGGGAAAATGGGGAGAGGGATGGGCATCCAAAGGGACAGTTGGAGGGGGGGAGTGTGGGGGAAAATGGGGAGGGAGGGATGGGCATAAGGAGGGAGGTTAAGGTTCAGAAAATGGAGAGGAAGTGGGAGGGATGGGAAGGTGGGAAATTAGGGAGGGAGAGGTAGGGATGGGTAAAGGAGGGAGAGTAAGGGTGGGAAAATGGGGAGAGGGAGGGACAGATATATGAAGGGATCTAGAGTGAGTAGAAAGAAGCATCTTTTCATCGCCTTTCATTATTTGTTCTTAAAAAATAGTAAAATGTTCCAATCTTTTTAAAAATGGAGTTAACACATCCAATTTATGTGTTTTAATAAAAATTGAGCATGTTGCCATTTTGTTGGGTTAATCAGAATCAATTTCACAGCAGTACAGAAAAAATATCAAATTTTAAATTTGTGAAAAATAAATTTATTCATTTTATAATTATGTAGACATATGAACCGGCTTATTCCCTAAGTTTCTTTTCCTCTAAGGTGTGTAATAGGTAGGGTGTGAAGAGGCCCATTTTTACCCTTTGTTTGAAGGGAAAGTGAAATAAGTAGGGTACCCTGGGGTTATGTGTGATTACATAGCAGGATTTGCAGAATATGAATTTTCCAAAGTCAAAAAAAAATTGGACTTGAATTGTTCTGTATGCCAAGTTTCAGGTAGGCTGAGCCAATATTTTCTATAAAAATTAAGTCAAAACTCATGTTTATCAATTTATTGTTTTCATTAATCACAATGATCTGCTGTCAAACTGGTGCATTTTCTAAAACTTTTCTTTTAGCTTTTGGAATGGAACATCTGCTGTCTGACTGCTGTCACTGATCTGTGATTGTCCAAGACAGGGGAGGTCAGTAAGGTGCTCAACATTTCATATGGGATGTTTGGTCCTACTGATTTCTTCTACTCTTGTGGCGTCTTGGACATCATTGACTGTGGTCGCATATCAGACAAAATCATCTTTATGGAGAAGGATTCATTGATTGTATATTGCTTACATCCCTCTCGAGAATTTTTCACTCATACGGATATGCCACCAGTTGCCGCTGGAGAGCTACAAATTTTGTCCTATGCTCATTACTCTAGGCTATTGAGCAGTGAGGGATCTTTTTCATGCCAACAACTACTGTGACATGGGACCTCAGTTTATACGGTCTCAGCCGAAGGACCGGTCTCCACATTGCAGCGGGATTCAAACACATGAAGTAAGGATTGACTCCTTACTTCGTGACTTTAGAGCAGATGCTCTGACTACTGTGGCACGAGGGCGACTTTATTGACAAGGAAGGCAGTTTTCAAAAACAGACACTGTGCAAAAATAGTTAATTGAAATTTCATACCATTTGCAACAATCAAGAATGCTAGGTGATATCCAAATATTTTTGTTTTAATACTTATATATGATTAAGATTTCAAAATAGAACTTGCAATTGCACACTAGATCAGATAGAGCTTATATTTACTTGGTCAAGATGAGGTAAGTTCTATAAATATCAACAACAAATATACATGATAATTGAACTCATATTTATTCCTGAATTCAAAATTTATGTTAATTCTAACAAACAAAATCATTCTATGAGGCTAACATATGATAAAAAGACAAGAAACTAGATGCTTAAAAATTGAGATTCTTGCCCTCAAAATTATTGTATACTTCACATTTCTTTCTCATTTATTTATATCAATAAAGAACAGACTTTGATATAAAACAACAAATGAAAGAAAACAATATTGTTCAAAGAATGGATTGCAGTGCAGAGGTCCCTGCATCAAGACATTGGTAATGCTGGAAGAACTTGTCCTGAACAAGAACCGAATCCAATCCTCACTCCGTCCTTCTCACAGAAACCTAAAGATAAACAGACAGAGTGGTTACATAAACCTACAGATACACAAACAGGGTGGTTATATAAACCTACAGATAAACAGACAGGGTGGTTACATAAACCTACAGATAAACAGACAGGGTGGTTACATAAACCTACAGATACACAGACAGGGTGGTTATATAAACCTACAGATAAACAGACAGGGTGGTTACATAAACCTACAGATATACAGACAGGGTGGTTACATTTACCTACAGATAGACAGAAACAGTGGTTACATAAACCTACAGATAAACAGACAGAGTGGTTACATAAACCTACAGATACACAAACAGGGTGGTTACATAAACCTACAGATAAACAGACAGGGTGGTTACATAAACCTACAGATAAACAGACAGGGTGGTTACATAAACCTACAGATAAACAGACAGGGTGGTTATATAAACCTACAGATAAACAGACAGGGTGGTTACATAAACCTACAGATAAACAGACAGAGTGGTTATATAAACCTACAGATATACACACAGGGTGGTTACATAAACCTAAAGATAAACAGACAGAGTGGTTACATAAACCTACAGATACACAAACAGGGTGGTTACATAAACCTACACAAGAACCTACAGATAAACAGACAGGGTGGTCACATTAACGTATAGACAAACAGACAGAGTGGTTAAAAAAGGGTGGTTACAGTAAAGTGAAATGAACTTATAAGGTACAAATCTGCACTGTACTAATTAAAGATAGATAAAATATACAAGATAAATCCAACCTGTCATGATGACATCATCTCCATCCTTTAGAAACTTCCGGGTTTCTCCATTTCCTAGATCTACAGTCTTTGTTCCCTTCCAGCACAGCTCTAACATGCTGCCATAGGAGTCCTCAGTCTAATAATGATACCATAGAATACTACAATATACAACACAGCTCTAACATGCTGCCATAAGAGTCTTCAGTCTAATAATGATATCATAGAATACTACAATATACAACACAGCTCTAACATGCTGCCATAGGAGTCTTCAGTCTAATAAAGATATCGTAGAATACTACAATATACAACACAGCTCTAACATGCTGCCATAGGAGTCTTCAGTCTAATAATGATATCATAGAATACTACAATATACAACACAGCTCTAACATGCTGCCATAGGAGTCCTCAGTCTAATAATATAACATTTCATAGATTACTATATCATACTGTGATAGGAGTCCTCAGTCTTGTAACATAAAATATCATAAGTTACTTTAACATACTATCATATGAGTTATCAGTCTTGTGAAAAAAGATATCATAGATTACTATAATAATACACTAGAGGTACTCCCGCCTCCCATAATGTCCATGTTTTGCTATAATATATTGTTTTACAGTAATGTGTAAAGAGGAATAACTCGTCGTATAAAATGTTATTCAGAAGCCACTATATGTGACGTCATAGGTAAGAATATAATGGCTATGTCCATATCTTGCTATGGGAATCCTAATATGCGTGTTGAATAAAAGTAAAATAGGAGGTGCAAAATGGCAATATGTAATAAAGATTCTGTGAAAGTTTCATCAAATTTCACTCAGTAGTATAAGAGGATTTGTGGATAAGAGATGGGTACCCCAAAGGGTAACAGACGGATGGACGGACATAACGATTACTATATACCCTCCCACTTTTCAATGTACAACTATAGGAGTCTACAGTCTTGTAATATTAGATATATCACAGGTTACTAGAAGACAATTCAGTCTGATAATATAAGGTGACAATGTTCACTTTGTTTGTGTGATTAAGGCATGAGATTGGTCCCTACCTCTCCACTGATCGTCCCTGAGGCCATCAAATCCCCGGGGTTGGTGTTACAGCCGGTCACTGTGTGGTGGGTCAACTGCTGCTTCATGGTCCAGTACATGTACTGTCAAAAGTATAAGTACAATGATATCTACATTCTCTCATTGCAAATTACCTGCAGAACTGTAGCAAAGTATGGTTTTATTTATCAGCCTTTGACCATAGCGCTACAGATACTTTCAAGACAGATGTTTATCACTGAACTACTTTACATTGATGAATATAAATGATGGGTAAACTGTGAATTTGATCGTAATGAAAATGCATCATGTCAGTTTTTGTCTGATAATTTGGACTTTTATCTATATTTTCAGAAATTTTACTTTTTAAAGCTCTTTTTTCAAGCTGCAATATTGCCTTTGTTTGTTAACAATGTACTTTCATGTGGGAAGTAAATTCTCTAACCTTGAAGTTACTGCGGCATACAGTTGATGGTTTACTCATTCCTTCACCTGCAAATGAATAATTATGTAACAGTAACAATGTAATAGAAATACAGGACATCTTTTTTCTTTAACTCTTTTTTTTTTTTTCAAAAAAGGCAATTACAATTAATATCTGAGAAAATTAATATTAACACATTAAAGGAGAAAAATCTGTTGCAAATATCATGAAGATAATGTTTATTTTTCCCCGATGTTATTTTTGCTGACAATTTTGTCCCATTTTAAACTCACCTGGTCCTAGTTCTGTTTAAGAAATTAGAATGTTCTTTACATTTCTCTGAGAGTAGGGCAAAATGGGTGGAAATAAGATGGGGTGAAAATTTCCTTGTATAAAGTGATGAAAATTACCAGACCATGACTTGTATCTTTGCTCACCTTTAATGGCTACCTCTAGGTGGATGTCCAGGTTATAAGGATCTTCGTGACAGAGGTACGGGAGAGGTCTGGGATCCTGGGCACTGTTAGGGACCAGGAAGGGTTTTAGAGCCTCCATACTGACCACCCACGGGGATATAGTGGTCCCCAGGTTCTTACCCAGGAATGGACCCAGGGGAACATATTCCCACTTCTGGATGTCTCGGGCTGAAAAATAAAGAGTGCAGAGTTATGTGAGCAATTTTAAAACCATCAATTTTCAGTATTTTTAATTTTTTTTTTACAATGAACATAAGATAAATTGATGCATTTTTGTGATGAACAATATTGACTGTCTTGCATGCACTGATCAAGGTGCTAATAATCCATTCCAGCTCCAATTTTGATAAATAATTTCTTCCTCTGCTCAACCTGCATCCCTTTAATTGGTAAGAGCACAGACAAACATATAGAGAGACATACGCAGTGACTGGATTGTAAGTTATATGAGGTTTATAATATCTGCAATAGACTTAAGGTGATTTAGACCTATTTAATAGATGTATGCATATACTCCTACTGTCAACAAATGCCTAGGTTGAGGTATATTGGCTTTGTATAAAACAGTACTTAGAGCAAAATTGTACAAAAAACATGTAAAATATTATTTTAATTTATTAATTTTTTTAAACTTGTCATATCTATCTTCAGATCATGACATGTAAAGAAAGACAACTCCTTTTAATAAATCATGTGATCCACTGGTATGCAGGTAGAACAAGGAAATTAAAAGTTAACCCACAACGACCTCATAGACTTCAGGTTTGTATTTTAATAGTTGTCTTATTTGTATATTGTTAAACAATTCTTGAAAATTCTCATGGTAATATACTTTTGATTTAAAAAAAAAAACATGCTGTTTCTAACGAGAAATAGTACTAAGGTTATAATTCAGGACATTGTACAACAGCTTATTAAATGGCCATTGAATATAAATTGGTGGTGATAAAGGTTCAATACATATGTTGCAAGAAATCAATAAAATAACTGAAACATCCATTTATATCCAGCTGAAATTAATTACATGTACCAATTGCTATACACGTAATAACAAAAGTCTCTGATGCGACTTTAGCTCTACTGGTTTGAGCTCACAACAAAATGTAAATAAAAGAAAGTTAATATACACCTGAATTTCAAATCTTTGACAATAACAATGAACAGACCAAATAAATATTATTTTTTGGTTTAACATTGTCTTAATTTGTATGGCATATTTTATATTGAAATCCAATTATTAACCTTTTGAAAGAATTTCACAAAAAAATATTGTTCATAGAATAGTAACTATGCCAGCTACATCATTCATCAAAAATCACTGAACAGAATTAGGGTTTTCATTGTATCCTACTGTTGTTAATATTTAACAGCAATCAGTTCAAACTTGAGTTGAGATTATTGTTTCTGAAAGTTCTCAAAAGTTTCTATTTTCAATTTAAAAAATTGCAAAATTTCTTTTACTTTACTATAACCATTGCAACACCAATGATTGAAATCCAAAAATATCAATTGAATCTAAAATTAAAATTGGAGCAAAACTGCATGAAGAGTAGTGTTTTTAAAAGAATTTCCCAGAAAATTCTTTTTTCTGAACCACCTCAATTCAAAACTGATGAACAGACATGCATCCTAGCATAATTTATACCCTAAACCAAAACTGTAGGAGGCGGTGTTACAACGCACTTTGAAAAATTACGCACTTTGAAAAAAATTTTCAAAGTGCGTTGAATTTGGAACCAAGCTAACGCACTTTGAAAAAATTGATTTTTTTTTCAAAGTGCGTTGATATCGACCATATTAACGCACTTTGAAAAAAAATGTAAAGATTGATCAATATTCTTACAAATAATCGGTATGATTAATAACAGTCCCTGGTTGGATAACTTTTTTTATGGTAAAGTCACTTCAGGACCTGAGATATTTGAAGTTTTGATAAAATAAAAGGGAAAAGGGTCTTGAAAATAAAAGACTGACGATTGTTTAATATTATTATTTCGTTTCTTTCTTTTTATAAATTCTAGTCTTTTATAAGTAGATGTAAAGGGGGGCACTAACACATCTGACACGCTACTCTCCTGATTATGAGGAATTATTACGAAGATGGCACTAACAGTGAACATGCAGCTTTAAACAACTTATTTTGTATTTATCATAATAAAAAGGGGGCAATTTGATTGACCAAAGCTATGAAAATTCTCTCTGTCTCATTCGTTTTACTGTACTTAAAAATTTCTAGTTTTCATCTGTTTTAATTAACTTATTTAATATTGAAAGTTTTCAACGTCATACCAGTTATGTAAATACTTATATAAATGTTTCGGGTATAGCATAGACATCGAGATCGGGCGAAGGGCCAGGGGAGGGGGGCTAAGCCCCTCACTTAATTACTTTGGCAAGATATATACGAGGGTTGTCCCGTAAAATCGTGGACAAGTTGTCTAGTGTGAAAAATAAACATCACTGCGTTCTGAAATTTTCACTATTATTTAATACATATTTTAGTAATATACACAGCAAATTTCAGATAAATATATGTATAAATAAAAAAAATTATGAGATTTTATGCCATGTATTGTATCACCTTACGGCGCATGGATTATAACGTCAAAATGTCTAAAACAGCGTCACGTTTTATCTTTGCTGAAAATGAAGTTGGATGAGTAAATTTAGGAATTTCATTGATACACATTCTTTAGTCTCCATAAACAGTCGAAGAACCAGTTGGCACCCTCATCCGATCTTCTGGAGATTTATTAGTAAGTTATGGACAATATTCTCACCATCATTCAGCTAATAGAAAATCTCGTATTGGCGGTCTACTGTGACAGCGTCTTTTCCAATTACATTAGGAGTTTGTCCGTTTGTTTTGTACTCCCCAGGGACTCGATCAAAAAAAAACTTCGCTAAGAAAACTCCTATTTCATTTGTATACTTAAGATATGGTGATATTTTTATAATCTTCTTTCTTCTATGGTCATTTCAAGTCCCTAAAAGGTGTCATTACAACATCAAAATAAAACTGAACTGTTCTCCGGTGCGCCGTAACGTCATAAAACGTCGCCATTTTTCGTGTGTTCTGTTTACCACTTTCCTATTTCGAATGCTCGAGAAACTTCCAAAAATTAAGCAAATGCCTTAAAATTTTTACAAAGACTACAAAATTGATTGTGGAATTGAATTAGGATAATTTTAATCCAAATCTTATGTATTTAAAACTTTTATTTTGAATTCAAACTGGTGTATTCTTTAAAAAAAACCTTGGTTTTTTGACCAGGCGCCGTAGGACAATACCTCGTGTACATTCAAGCATAATAGAATCTTTATTTTTGCCTATATTTTATCAAAAAAATTACCATGCACTTAAATATGATAAATAAACATTTACTGAAATTTTCAGCTTGGTGCGCCCGTTATTTTTCGAGAAAAACGCTTTTTCCACGATTTTACGGGACAACCCTCGTACATTATATAAGCATTGAAAATGCAGCTTACCCTTTTGGGGTTCATTGCTCCCCTTCCCCGTTTGTTACTGACACCTATGTATCTTCTACCCCGTCTTCTCCTCTTTTCGACAGGAGTAAATCAATTCATAAGTTTTTTTGAAAGACAAATAACAAATAAAATCTTTCCATTACTAATATATGATTCTTTTTTTCAAAGTGCGTTAAGTGTCTCCATGGTAAAATATATTGATGTAGAATCTTAACGCACTTTGAAAAAATTTTTCAAAGTGCGTTGAGTTGGTCCCAAATTTAACGCACTTTGAAAAAATTTTTCAAAGTGCGTTGATTTTGTCCCAATTTTAACGCACTTTGAAAATTTTTTTCAAAGTGCGTAATTTTTTCAAAGTGCGTTGCCACAAGGCGTACATGTAGCACCTCACTATCCCAATAATCTTCTGGTAATTGGTACATGGGATTTTTGCACACCTTTATGAATTTATGCTTTGTGAATTTCAGACTTCATGAGGACATGGACCCTCGTACCAGTGCCCAGGACGTAATGCGATGTGACCTTTGCCAGACCGCTGTGGTACAGATGCACTGCGACACATGTCTCATTAACTTGTGTAAGGCCTGTGTGGGAGAACACACAATGTCTGATGAAGCCAGTAAAAAACATGAAATTGTTCAATTCAAACATCGAAAATCAACCCCTCCTTACCCTAGATGTACCTCTCATGACAAAGAACAATGCGAAATGTACTGTAATCTATGTAATGTTCCTTTATGCACTGCTTGCATTGCCTCTGGAAGTCACACAGCTCATAAAATTAGTCAAATACTGACACTTTACGATGCAAAGAAAAAGGAAATAGAGGGAGAAAATGAAGAAATGGAGACCAGCATTTACCCAATCTATCAGGACATTGTTTCTGATGTACAAAACAGAATGACCCAGCTTGAAAAAGAATATGGAGATCTTTCAACAGTGATAACAAAACATGGAGAGGACTGGCATAGGATAATTGACAAAATTGTTCAAAACCTTAAAGCTGAAGTGGACACCATGAAATCTAGACACTATGACATTTTTAAGAAACATCTGGCTGAAATAAATCTGAGAATATCAGAAATAAAAGAGGAAATTCAAGCCTCCTTCAAAATACTGGAATCAAATAACATCTCTCAACTTCTTCAATTCAATGGAAAAATAAAAGAATTCAAAAAATTTCCACATAAACTAGAAGTATTATCTCCACATTTTACCCCAATGCAATGTCAAGAAGAAGAATTTCTGAAGCAGTTTGGGAACCTATCAACCCTATCTTTTTCTTCAGAGGAACATGGCTATAATATAAAGAAGGAACAGAAATCGCCAGTAATTATTATCCCCAAAGTAAAACAGTTGCTTAAAAAATCAGAGACTGTTTCCACCATAGATACTGAATACAGCCTCCTGTTTGGTGTGACACTTCTGAGTGAGGAAGAAATCTGGACAAGAGGATATGTGAACACCATGAAACTCTACAGCATTAGTCAGGGCTCACTACTCAAGTCAGTCAGAACCAAATCAGAGAACATCCCAGATGACATTACAGTAACTAGTCATGGCCATCTTGTTTATACTGATCCCACAGACAGGTCTGTTAACGTTGTAATGGATGGAAAGATTGAGACGGTGATCAAACTACAGAACTGGATACCTCGAGGTGTGTGCAGCACCTCCTCTGGTGACCTCCTGGTTGTCATGAACAGTGATGACAAAAAACAAGCAAAGGTTGTCAGATACTCTGGCTCTAAAGAGAAACAAACCATTCAGTTTGATGATCAAGGTAGACCTCTCTATTCATTAGAAGACAATAAATACATCAGTGAGAACAAAAACCTGGATATCTGTGTGGCGGACCTTGGAGCTAATGCAGTAGTGGTGGTCAATCATGCTGGGAAACTGAGATTTAGGTACACTGGACACACCCCTGCTCCTAAAACCAAACTGTTTCACCCAAGAGGAATCACCACAGACAGCCAGAGTCACATTCTTACAACTGATTATGACAAGGACTGTGTTCACATCATAGATCATACTGGACAGTTCCTTGCTTTCATTGACTGTGAACTGAGGTGTCCGTGGGGGTTATGTACAGATACAAATGACAATCTGTTTGTTGCTCAGGTGTTTAACAAACAAGTTAAGAAATTAAAATATCTGCAATAAAAAATCTGATTCTAAGAGATTGAAATAAAATTCAATAAACCTTATGAAATTTACTAAATGGTTTGCCTAACTACACTTTATTTAATCCTCTAAATGATTGAGTACAGAATCAGCAGTACTTTCTTTGGTCAGGAAAATCCACAACTTGCCTTTGGCAAATTGTGATGTTTGGTACTAAACCTTTCTATATGCTGCATCCCCAGTATTTTGATGCACATATGTGCACACATCATTTGCTTATTTTTAAGATGTCTGGTTTAGGTTCTTCCTTTGATGAAAGAGTAATAATATTTTTTAGCTCAGGAGACATTTAGTATATTACTGCCTTGCTTTAAACTTGAAAGTCTATTTCAGTTTTATCATGTTTATATTTGTTGTTAATTTGGGTTAATTTAGCATCTGCTCGGGAGATTTCGTCTAAACGTCTTAGTCCCTGCAAACCATGTGATGGATTAGGGTTAGTAACTCGTTCTTTTACATAAGTTAAGAAATTCAGGTGTTTTTGAATTTTTCCAAGATCATATAATTCAGCTTTAAAGACATTTCGTTCATTTGTTTACATGGAAGAATGGCTAAGTCCGAAAGAAATGCTACTAAGCATGCGCCGCACGCGCTTCGTTCAGAATTATTCTTTAACGATTTTTTCCATGAATAAACAATACAGTATAATTTGTCCAATCCGGCTACCGCCGGTTCCATAAAATTTGGCCGGTTTAGACAGAATCCGGAGTGCAGGAAAAATGCAGGAAAATATTACTTTTAAAAAATTAGTTGTTTATTTACAAGTACTTCATACACATAATATAAAATATAATTTAAATGATGAAATCAATCAACATTTTGGAGTCTAGAAATTATTAAATAGTCTCTCATGACTTAAATGTATTTTCTTGTTAGTTCACAAAGTTTGACAGTCGGGTGAAATGCTACCTAAATCAAAATCTACGGGCACGCATAATATAGGCCTACTATATATCTAGCGGACCGGGTTTCACTTATGAAAGAGTTCATTCAATGTATAAACAGTAATGCACAATTATTTACGATGTGCTATTTATTGGAATGAACTTTTAATTTTTATGTAAAAAAAATTACGTCTTCCCCCACAGAGTTATGGCGCCATTTTGAAATGCGTTCGATTTTCGATCCCGACTATTATTTTGATTTGTAAATCGCGTACATATATATTTTTGTGTTTATGTTATAATGTGGTAAATGGAGTCAAAACAAAGTTGTTTTTTTTAATTGTAATTTAATCATATAATATTTTTTCAAGCGGGCTCTGTCACCGCCGCATTTCACTGAGTTCGTCTCATGGCACTAATGCTAGTGTAAACACTGATTATCACATCCACCACGAAAGGTGTTAATTGCTTTGAAGTAACTCAGGTAATTATGTGTGGCCGGATTAGAGGAATGATTACCGTTAATTATGAGCTGTTGGGGACCAGTATGGCCGTTTGGAATACGGAATAGACAGTATCTGGACTACACAGAATTTTTTCTAATGAATTTGTTAAAGAAGTGCATGGGACTAAAATTTATAGGATTAGACAAATTTTACTGTATTTATTAATTTTTTTCAGAGAACAAGGTTAAAAACTACGTTTAAAAACGAAGTTTTAAACTAAACTTTTATCCGTAGATTTCGATTTTTGGGTCAAAAGACCAAAAAACCTCGTATTTAAAAATTTTTTCGATCGCTCACGCGATCTCATATATAGTGAAGTCGCCGAAGGCGACACTACATTTAAGCGCGTTTTTCTGGGGACCGGTAAAGTAAAGTCGTTCCTTTCATAACTGTTTTTATTGAAAACATATATTAACCGATATTAACAGAAGATTTGATTTTTTGTTAAAGATCTCTATTTAATTAATAACTATGCTAGAAAATGTAAGAGATTGTATTGAGACTGCATTATGTTTAGTAAACTAAATTCTTGTATTCAGTAGCAACTTTTTTGATAAATCTGTGGTAGATTTGATTGAAATCTTCCATTAGTCAGGAAATTTGTCCCCTGAACAAAAAAACGAGAAAAAGATATGTATGAACTCAATTGCCAAGGCTTTGCAATACACTGTTTCACTAATATAAGCTAGGAATAGCTGAAAATAGCCTTACCACTCCAGTCATTCATCAGCACCATTCCAAAGATGTGCTCCTCTGCCTTATCTATACTGATTGGTTCTCCCAGCTTGTTGCCAGGGCCAACAAAGAATGCCATCTCCAGCTCAAAGTCAAACAGCTTACAGGGGCCAAAAACTGGGGGCTGCGCTGAAATACAAAGTCAAACAGCTTACAGGGGCCAATCAAAGGGGGGATGAGCTGGAATATAATGTCAAACAGCTTACAGGGGCCAAACATAGGGGGAGTTGAGCTGAAATACAAAGTCAAACAGCTTACAGGGGCCAAAAACGGGGGGCTGAGCTGAAATACAAAGTCAAACAGCTTACAGGGGCCAAACATGGGGGCTGAGCTGAAATACAAAGTCAAACAGCTTACAGGGGCCAAATACCAAGGGGCTGAGCTAGAAGAGAATTATTCATTAGTATAAATATCAAACTTGTGCAAGGGACACTGTTTATACATGTACTACATATTATATTTAAGATGTTTTAGATAGGAAAGTTTTCACTATCTTATTTAAGGTGTAATCATCACATTGAAATATGTTTTTTTCCCCAACAATGACTCTGAGGTTTTTAAAGGAATGCCATCTCATGTAAAATGTAACTCAACCAGGCTGAACTTTTTTATAAGTTTTATAAGTAAAAATGTTATCCAAATATCTATAAAGCATATTCATTTCTTTCCATCCTTGATTCTCTCTATTTACCTTCGTCTGGCCTTGTCTGACCATTGGGTCGTCTGACAGGGGTTCCTGATACGACAACAGAGGAAGCCCTGCCATGGTAACCAACTGGAAGATGTTTCCTTCAAATAAACTCAACAATCATGTAATTTGTTCTCATATACATGTAGTATACACAGAGATTTAGTCAACCTCACTGTGTCAACTTTTTGTATATCTTCATTAAAAAATAATCAGAATTCTGCACATTATTTATACAACTTGTGATTAGCAATAATGATAGCAAGCAAATTGACAAAATTAATTTCTTTATGTGGCATTAATTCAATCTTTCATTTTTTACCAGTTTGGCATGAGTGCATTGTCTGGTCCCCTGAACATACAGCCAACATTGAAGGCGTGGTTCTTTGAAGAGTAAAAATCTGTGTAGTCTCCTGAAATGTTATAAAAAATACATAATAGTAAGACCCCAGAATTCATTAAAATTTACAGCATCAAGGGAGGAGGGAACAAAGCAACAGTTCCTTCTTTAAAATTGTTTTTGCTTCATAGAACTGTGATTTAAAAATCTCAAGTGAATGCATGTGGACTTAAAATTTTAATGATTATGAAAACTAAAGGAACCATAGATGTTCTTACATTTTGTTAAACATAAGGATGTTTATATTCATATTTACTATTCTGACCTAGCTTCGACATTGACCTATGAGTGAGCCTTATTAAATAAATGTGTATGTCTTAATACATGAGGTGTTGAAAGAAGGAAGAGCAGGCAGATGCACAGACAAACTGCATGATTACAAGACCCAACCATGTAAGATAGTAGGACATCCATGAGTTCAAACAATACAACTGAGATCATATATCTTTCTCTCCTCTGAAGAAAACAACTTGCTGCAGTGTTTAACTTTCTTTGAAGGACAAAAAGCCTTCAATGATATATAAAATGTACAAATGATTCCAGAATACATACCTATTCTGGCTGGTAGGTGCATGATTGCTTCAGACTGTGGAACAAAAGCCCTGAAAAAATACAAATTATACTTTAATGTTATAAAAATAGGGAATGGGAAAATTTTTTTCTTACAACAATAGCTGCTTATTATATTACTCTTCTCCAAAATAATGAAACACATTCATCACTAAAAGGAATATAGTGACTTAAAGATAGCTATATTTTGTTTGTGAAAAAAAAATTTTTTAGTAAACTACTTTGGAATACCTAGATCTAAGATCCTTGTTGTTACAGAGTAGTGGTTCCTGAGTGGATAGGAGGCGCTGTAGAGTACTCCTGGCTTCTGTCCAGGCAGCACGACCCAGACCCATAAAGGAGTTCAGAGTGGTCTACAAATAAAAAAAATGTCAAATGGAACACATATAGGAGTTAAAGAGTCAATAGGTCAAATAATGAGGCTCCCCATACTGGCCCATAGACTACAATGCTGAGACCAGAATAACTTGGATTCCCTTTTGTGGCTCTACCATAACTACCAGTGAGGGACATGATTTGAACATATCTACACTACCTCAGGGGGCTTTTACAGAAATTTCTACATATATCAATGTAAAACTTTGATTCCCAATTTTGGTAACACCCTACTCCCAGGGGACATGATTTGAACAATTTAGAATATGCACTTCCTCAGGAGGTTTCCACATAGGTTTCAGCTTTTCTGACCCAGTGATTTTTGAGAGGAAGATTTTTAATGCCCCCCACTCTATTTTTGTCTTTTTAATTTAATCCTCTTGTGAGGGTGTTTGGTCCTTCATTTTAGCAATACAAACTTCCCTTTCCTCCAGTATGCTTTGTACCAAGATTTGTTAATATTAGCCTCATGATTCTTGAAAACAAGTTGAAAATGTGAAAATATTAAGTTTACAAACAGAATGACAAACAACTGACAAGAGGAGATCAGGAAAACTCACTTGTTATTGAGTTTTCAGCTCAGGTGAGCTAAAAACATGTCAAACAGACACACATATATAAGTCTTAGTAACTTTATTTGTTTGAAAATTTAGAAAAAAAATTAATTTGTGTTACCTCTGCAAAAACATCCTGGTGGTTCTGTAGGGCTGGGCCCGTGAACAGGTGTCTGATGACACTCAAATCTAACACCTGGTTACCAATGGCAACACCAATACGATGGGTGGGCTAAAAAGAAAAGCAGTTTTATTTCTACTTCAACAAAAAAAATATTTTAAAGTTCTATAATTCCTAACATTAAATAACAAATGAAATTTTTATTATTTCATCCTCAGTTAACAGTCATAATGTGAAGTAAAATGGATTCATTATCCTAATCAATTGATGCATCCATGTACGTTAAAAAGGCCCTAAAATGTGTTCCCTATCCAGTCTATGTGATGATAATCGGTCACCAATGAATGTATCATTTTTTACAATATGTCTGATGTCTCAATCAGTGTCTGGTTTTAAACATGTTAAACTTCACTTTTTTTTTTATTAGGAGGCCTGAGTCATTTATTAATAAATGTTGTTAAATATCAGTAAAAATATTGCAGCACAAATCCAAAGATGTAAATTAAATCAATTGTTAGGAGCTTTTCGAATTTCAATCCGCCGATGCAAAATAAATATACTGTATAGGTACTTTTTTCCGCATGGTATTAATTTAAATTTTACGCTATGTACGCGGCCACAAATTTTCCTCTGAAATTTGTCCAAGCGTATGTAATATAAATGTAAGGCATATAGTGACAGTCTTAGAAATCCACGTAATTTTCTACCCGCGGATTAAACGGAAATTGAGATTCCGCGGAATTATGACCCTGCGGAAAAAAGTACGTCTACAGTATTATCACCGACATCATGACTGACAATTCATATTTAATATTGTATCGCTCTCCTAAATTGGCTAAAATACATTGTGTACTTTGACAATTATATACAAAACGTAACAAAGTCATTATGTATATCAGAGACATATAATAGACCCTCTATCATATATGGCGCTAATGTGTATTTAGCTGCGTGGCTTTGTTAAATTTGAGTCAGATTATCTTTTACGGCCGATGATATATACACGAACGTCGTGCGCATAGTGAATAAAGTCTATTTACACGACCGTCGTGCGAATAGCTAATGCAAATTGTTGAGATATTTAAACGACCGTCGTGCACATACGTAAGACAAAAATGTATTTACACGACCGTCGTGCACATACGTAAGACAAAATCTATCTACACGACCGTCGTGCAAATAGCAATCGCACATTGCCAGAGATATGCACACGACGATAATAGCTATTGTATACTATTAGTTATATACACAGTCAGTTAGTGACTTAATACGGATTCATACAGGGTGTGAAATGGAAATCCGTATTGGGCGAGGCGAAGCCGAGTCCCAATACGGATTTCCATTTCACACCCTGTATGAATCCGTATTAGGTCACTAACTGACTGTGTAACGAATTTATCCCGCTGAAGACCTTTTTCAATATAAAAAAAATATTTGTGCATATTATGAAAATATTAGTTTTTATCCAATAACAATCTACGTGAAATATCGTTACGGTAACAAGAAATTTAACTGAACTACCTACGTTTAACCGTTTCTTAGCCGCCATTTTTATTTCCAATAACAACGCTTCGAACGGAATCGCGTGCCCGGTTTTCATATTACGCCTCGACGGAGACGTAATATGGAAATGGAGACGTAATACGGAAAATTTCAGGGCGTCACGTGATTAGCTTTTATCCAATCAGTAATCGACAAATTTGTCTGAAGCGGGATAAATATATGTACACGAGTCCGGGATTTTTCGGGCTGATTCTGTTTCGCACTAAGATGGTTCGCGCCCGCACTATTCGCGCCGATTTCAGCGCGAAACATCTCACGTTATATTTAAATATATCACTTTAAAAAAAATTATTAACTCAATATAAATATATGTTGTATGCCTGCTCAACTTCATGACTTAATAATATGCACTTCCAAAAAATAACGGATCGTAACCATGGTAACCGCGGTCTAAGCACCAGTGGTCTTAAATATCAACAGTTTATCATCGTTTAGATACACACGTCAATATTTACTACATACTCCCTACATAAACTTGGTGATTTTTATTAATAAATAGTGTATTTAGGGAACTATATTAACATTTAAATATCATTATCATGATTATTGTTTAATATGAAATTTCATGTGTATAACACTATAAAACTAAGGTAAGTAAGGTTTTATGACAATTTTTTTTTGGTTAAAAAGTGTATTAAGAAATCAATACTAAAGTAGGCGAAATGCTTATAAATGCGTCCTGGCTCTGGTGGATAGGGTAAACCCAGACCTACCAAAATAGTAAGCAGTGGCGGATTTAAGGGGGGCGCACCCGGTGCGCGCCCCTAAAATTGTCAAAATTTACGTAAATCACAGTTTCGTCTAGAAAATGTAAATACAATGAAGCGCATTGAAGTGGTAAAATTTCCCGTTCGAATGGAACGTTTTGAGCTATCTTTAGAATGTTCATTATCATCTTATGACACGCCCATTTCTTTAGAAATGGATAAAACGGTCAAGTTGTTTCTTCAAATACCTGTAGAACAGGTTTTACATAAACATAATAGCCAGTCAAATTGAGGATCTAAATAAACACCGAGGAAACACGTGTTCGACCGAAACGTGTTGTGGTAACTTTAATAGACATGATAAGTTAAAAAATATGTACATATTCGTTGCAATTTGTGTTTTACAGAGTCTCTAACTATCTTTTATATTTTTTTAAAGCTCCATTTCAGTGTAACTCATGATGCTTGTCGCGAAGAATGGGGTGTCCTAAAACTACGACGAATACAATGAAGCGCATTGAAGTGGTAAAATTTTCCGTTCGAATGGAACGTTTTGAGCTATCTTTAGAACGTTTATTGTCATCTTATGACACGCCCATTTCTTTAGAAATAGATAAAACGGTCGATTTGTTTATTAGAATACCTGTAGAACATGTTTTCCATAAATATAATAGCCAATGAAATTGACGGTCTAAATAAATACCGAGTAAACACGTGTTCGACCGAAACATGTGTTGTGGTAACTTCAATAGACATGATAAGTTCAAAAATATGTACATATTCGTTGCAATTTGTGTTTTACAGAAGCGGAGAGTCTCTAACTCTCTCTTCTAATTTTTTTTAAAGCTCCATTTCAGTGTAACTCATATTGCTTGTCGCGAAGAATGGGTGTCCTAAAACATTACGACGAATATTTCTTTCTCGTTTCTAAAGAAATGGGCGTGTCATTATGTTGTAATTGACGTTCAAAACATGACTCAGAACGTTTCATCCAAACGGAAAATTTTACCACTTCAATGCGCTTCATTGTATTTCTTTCTCGTTTCTAAAAATATGGGCGTGTCATTATGTTATAATTGACGTTCAAAACATGACTCAGAACTTTTCATCCAAACGGGAAATTTTACCACTTCAATGCGCTTCATTGTATGTATACTTGGTAGACCTCATTTTTACCCTACAAAATCTCTACAATCCAGGAGCTTCCGGGGGCTTCGCCACCTGGGCCCCCACCAGGGCTTTGCTCTGGACCCACTGGGGGCCTCAAGGCGGCCCCCAGACCCCTTGCCTACTTTTGGAGCCCCCTCTAACTTCAATTCCTGGATGGTAAGCAACTATTTTATTAATTAAATACAAATACAAGGGTAGTTCTAATAGAAACAAATTTACATTACAACGACCTGCCCATTGGACCCAAATGTCAATTAATTATATAAATTAATATCACGAAAAAAAGTTTTTGCGATGTTTTCTTGCCAAAATGTCTTTTTGTACTTTAATTACTGCGTTCCGAACTTAACTGGGGACGAAAAACGAATGCCATAATAAGTGAAGGTATGAATAAATATATATAATGGTCGTGCGACCAGCTGATAAATATTATAATAAAAAACACGATGGTCGTGCAAATAGTCACTGAAAAATTAATATACACGACGGTCGTGCAAATAGCCACTGAAAAATTATGTACACGACGGTCGTGCGAATAACCGTTGAAAAGGTAAGTGCACGACGGTCGTGCATATAGACACTGCCATCTTTTACAATTATAATTTGAAAGAACAACAACAACTTCAACATGATTAGATCTACATGCAGAAACAATAAATCTAAGATCTGCACATCTTTCAATTAACAATCAACAAGTGATTTATTTCTATTTTAGTATTAATTGGAATCCTGTCATTAACAAAATGTGTGCCAAAACCTGTCCATTTGATTGGCTGAACAATGACACACCTCTGATTTTGTCAATCATTGCAGAATATAGAAATAAACTTACGTTATCTGCCGTTGAGAATACACCATAAGGCAGATTCTGCAGTGGGAAATCGCTGTCAGGGCTGACTTCTATGAAAGACATCGTAAAAAGGGATTTATTTTGCACTGTTTACACGTGCCTTACTTTGACCGCTTACAGGAAGAGCGAGCTCGTTAGTTTCGTATCTTCAATCTTGCGTGTTTTCCTGAATAATTAAATTCTAAATCTTTACTTATATATCCTTTGAAGACAATTAAATTATAAGTATGATAAATTTAATTGTTTAAACATGTTAAGTGAAAAAGATTAAGGAGGATTTATACGAAAATACGGGAGCTTTATGACTTTGGACATAACAGTGCCAAAGTTTGTTTACAAATGTGAAAATCATGTTGCGGAGATACATTTTATCGCTTGGGTCAAGAGAGATAGTAAAATGCCATAAGCGTTTGCTGAATTTAGACGCAGTTGCACCTATTGGCACAACCCTTGAAAAAGATGCAAGCTACAAGGTAAAAACACGTGCATTTCGAATTTCCTCAGACTCCTTGGATTTTATCACACCCGCTACAATTTTTTTTTCTTTAAACTATAAACGTCCTTATTACACATGTACCGCTTTAAAAATGTGTGGTTTCTTGAATTATCGTATACAATCAAAGTTGCAAACGAATTATAAAACCATCTTCATGTATGTCTTAGAAAAGACAGTTTGAACAGGAGACTCATAGAGAACACGTACTTAATTAAGCCTTTGAGTTATCACGAGACGTAGTTTGCAGCATGATGCATTTGTGCAAAGAATTGTACAGTAGGTCCAGTGGTAACTTTGGGAAAAAAAATTCATTAAGATCAGTATATTGATGTGACAGTCACAATGCGATTTTTTCTTTGCACAGACATTGCTAGCTGCACTCTTTTATGGGTCCCCTCTTTTATTATTCCAAGATAAAATGATACCCAGTTAAATGTTCAATTCAGTTGAAAGGTACAGGGTGCGATTTACAAATGTCTACATTAATAACCAATATATTTATATATTATTAAATTCTGAAGAATATAATTATATTCCAAGGCAAGATAAAATTAAACCATGTTAAATGTGCATTTTAGTTTTATATAAAGTAATGGGTGGTTTTGGTAGAATTTCCCTGTAGTTTTGCCTTGTTTCAATAAATTTAATTGCTCATAAAAATCACACAAATCTAAAAACCCACACACTAGCTGTCAGATCAAATGGTTTTTCACTTTGAATTCATTAACATTAAGTACACTGTGACAGTGTGTGTCTAGAAAAAAGCACATGGGGCGAATCCAGTTAAGGCAAACAGTATACTGGACAAAACTACTTAGGGCATACAGGGATTGAGCAAGTCCATTCAGGATAAACATGGTATTGGCCAGGTGAAAGTACTGAGGGCAAACAGAATATTGGGCAAAACTACTCAGGGAAAACAGAATATTTGGCAGAACTACGCAGGGCAAACAGGGTATTGGGCAAAACAACTTAGGGCAAACAGAGTATAGCTTGAAACTACCCAGGGCAAACAGGGTATTGGGCAAAACTACTCAGACAAGGTAGACAGGGTACTGGGCAAAACTAATCAAGGCAAATGAGGTGCTGGACAAAACTACTCAAAATAAACAGGGTATTGGGCAAAACTACTCAGACAAGGTAGACAGGGTACTGGGCAAAACTAATCAAGGCAAATGAGGTACTGGACAAAACTACTCAAAATAAACAGGGTATTGGGCAAAACTACTCAGACCAAACAAGGTACTGAGCAAAACTACTGTGGCAAATAGGGATTGGGCAAATCCACTCAGGGCAAACAGGATATTTGGTAAAACTACCCAGGGCAAACAGGGTACTGGGCAAAAATACTCAAGAAAAACAGGGTACTGGGCAAAACTACCCAGGGCAAACAATCTATTGGGCAAAACTACCCAGACTAAAGAGGGTATTGAGCAAAACTACTCAGGGCAAACAGGGTATTGCAACTCCCACTGTGATTCCAAGGCTATACTGCAATAAGAGAGATAACTCTTACAATCATAAAAAAAGATATAATCCAATTACCAGTATATTTCATTTCATGTGTTCACAATTTATAATACTTTTTAAACAAAAAAATGTCATTATTTTTATTAATATTGTTAAGGTTTTAATTGTTTCAAAGATATTATATTTACATGTAACATGATTGTACATTTTGTGAATAAACAGTTTATAAAAACAGTAATATTATGGAAAAGGCAAGCTCCTGCATATTAAATAAATGCAACTTACTTCATATTAGCTAGGAGTTCAGATGATAACTATAAATTTATAATCAAATATCAGCTTACCATCAGTAGAAATCTGTCCTACAAAGCTCTGGACATTAGATACTAAGAACAATTGGAGGGAGTTTGATAAACCAATAAAACACAAGAACACAGAATTAATACCCAATAGAAACAAAGAACTTATAAAACTCATGGTAGAGCACCTGACTAGTGATACAAGGCCGGGTAGCATTGCATGATACACCTGAAATGTCCTGAATGACCATTATTTTTACTTATTAATCCTGTTACAATATATACATAAAGGAATTAAAATAAAACCCTGGACTTGCAGGTGAAAGTCCTGCCAGGGGATAAGAACTTGGGTTGTGTCTTCGGGGGCAAGACCACAATTTTTAAGGAGGAAGGAATTTTTTTAATGTTGCTTTGTCTTGTTAAACCGTGGATACTGGCCTGGATACCTCAGTTGGTAGAGCACCTGACTGGAGATACAGGGGTCCAGGGTTTGATTCCCAGTACAACCATACATTTTCTCCTTTCCTGTTACATATTTGGTGCCGTTAACCACCCCTGGAATTGCAGGTGAAAGTCCTGGGAGCAGAGAGAGAGAGAAAGAAAGGGTTGTGTCTTAAGAGGGCGAAGACCACCTGTTCCAAGGAGGTAGGAATGTAATGGTTCTGGCCGTGGATATCGGCCTGGATATGAAATCGGTAGAGCACCTGACTAGTGATACAGGGGTCCCGGGTTAAATATAGATTTTCCCGGTCCAGCCATACATTTTCTCCTTTCCTGTTACAGATTTGGTGCCATTGACCACCCCTGGAATTGCAGGTGAAAGTCCTGCCAGGGGCAATAAGAACTTGGGTTGTGTCTTCGAGGGCAAAGACCATTTAAGGAGGGAGGAATGTAATGGTTTGGGCCGTGGATATCGGCCTGGATAGCTCAGTAGGTAGAGCACCTGACTGGAGATGCAGGGGTCCTGAGTTCCAACTTCTCGATTCCCGGTCCAGCCATACATTTTCTCCTTTCCTGTTACAGATTTGTTTTTTTTTTTTTTTTTTTTTTTTTTTAAATTTTTAACAGTTAATTTATTATGGTGATAACTGAATAATTTGTAGTTGATAACAAATAACAAATATGTGGACCCAGGAACTTTCAGAAGGCCGCGCCCAAGAGTGCACCGGGAGGAACGAGAGAGGGCAAGGGAGGAGAGGCAGAGGACAACAGCCACCCCTTTGTTCTCACTCACAGAGGACCACAACCCTCGTGATGAAAAGTGCCCAGTGGGAGGGTTCCGGAAGTGAACTTTTAATTGTAGTTGATTATTACCGTATTTCCTTTTATTTTAATATAACAAAAAATTCATAGATTGTAATTTTTGTTTTAAGGGGGGAGGAGTGTGACGGTTTTGGTTTTTTACAGTACATTTAATTTGTCATACACAGAATATTTAGTGCATTTAAATACCTTTTAACATTTTCCGATAGGCAAAGCTGATGTTAAAAGTCCTGTATTTGTAACTTTGTAACTTTATTTGTTTACACATGTGCTCAGGTTAAATTTACCTCCATTTTGGCTGTCGTTCCAAACTTATTTTGTATCCTGACTTTTCATTGGTTGACAGATAGTACTTGAACATATCAGAAATCATTTTAGATATTCACATTACTATTTCAAAGCTACTTAGTTAGAATGATTTTTATTGGTCAGAGTTTATATATAAACGGTAACAGCGGCATTTTCAAGTCACTCTAGGCTAAAGAACCCACAGGTTCAAGCTTACTCTTCTTAGCTCTGAGGGTTTAATCCCGGACTGCTCGTGCAGTCTTATTTTTTTTGTTTAGGACACTGTCTAAATTCTGTAAAATGTAATAAGGTCCTTATATAGCTCTAGAGTCACATTGGTTCAAGGATGAATTAGATATCCCTAGGCCTTTATAGTGTTATTTATAATAACTAAATTGCCTTGTCCCTTGTGTAATAAATAGGGCTTTAGGAAATTTTCAGTCTACTTGCATAGAGTCTCACTATAATTTTTAGGGTGTTGTATGGAATCATAAAATCTCTTAGGTGTATGGAAGCTCACTCCCATCTATTTTGGTAGATTTTTCTTAGGGCATCACACTCATTTTTCCTCCATTATATTTTTGTTATCAAATTATTTACTTTGTTATTATTTATTCAGTTATTAATTTATTTTTCTACCTCAATTTTTTTTTATTTACATTTTGAGATTATTTTGGAAACTTATTTGTTATTTGTTATCAACTACAAATTATTCAGTTATCACCATAATAAATTAACTGTTAAAAATTTAAACTTTCTTCTTATTTCAAGGTGTTGATCATAATCTAGGAATCTCAGAACCTGGGTTGAATAAAACAAACAGGACCAGTCATTATACGATTAAATAGTTTGTGGGCTTAGTCTGTTCCTTAGTATTACTAAGTAAAGTTTAAGATCAAGTTTATCATTTATATATATATACTTTGGGACAGATCGAGTACACTTTACGTCCATAGATAAACTGGTTCCCGTTACAAACCAATAAAACACAAGAACACAGAATTAATACCCAATAGAAACAAAGAACTTATAAAACTCATGGCCAGAACCTTAATTATGACCCTGAAGGCAAATAATAGGGTAGCATTGCATGATACACCTGAAATGTCCTGAATGACCATTATTGAATTACTTATTTAATAATCTGAAATTATAAATATATACATAAAGGAATTAAAATAAAACATTAGATATTTATAGATGAATAATAAATTAAAATTATATATTAGATTCATAACTCTAAGAGTACAGTGGACCTTCAGATATCTGGACACTTCAGTATCCGGACAATTTTTCATGGGAAAGAATTTTTTTAATGTTGCTTTGTCTTGTTAAACTTGTAATTCAGGTATCTGGACGCTTCACATATCCGGACAAATTGACAGGGAACCAAAGCATCCGGATAAACGAGGCTCCACTGTATATGTTATTCTGAGTTGTACATTGATATTGTTACTTTTGTATTAGGAAAATGCAGATACAATGCAGACCCTTGTGGACGACTTGAATGCCAAAGTCAATAAAATCACACAAGGTAGGAATTTTTCCACCGTAAACATACCATAATTTTACATATAAAAAGGAAATAATATCTGTTTTGAGCCAACAAGGTTAAAAACTTTTTTAGCTATTAATTGAATTATCTAAAGCATTTCTTTGGTATGTAAATCTTGTTTGTTTCATTCATTAGGTGGGGGTGAGGCAGCCAGAAAGAAGCACACAGATCGAGGGAAGATGTTACCCCGAGACAGAATCAACTCCCTACTGGACCCACAGTAAGGAAGCTGTTCACGTCATGTGATAAAAAATTATCAAATGTTAAAGTTAACTATATAGGATAATCATCCAACACAATTTTTTTTTTCAAAATCTGTAATGGTTTGGACAATGGATATCAGCCTGGGTAGCTCAGTCTGTAGAGCACCTGACTAGTCCAGGGTTCAATTCCTGGTCTATCCGTATATTTTTCTCCTTTCCTAATACAAATCCAAGAAAGTTTTGAAATAAAAAAAATTGTTACTTAATTTTTTCATTTCAAAGTCATGATAGCAGGAAATTTCATGTTTTGTTTTGGACAGGTCTCCTTTCCTTGAGCTGAGTCAGTTGGCAGGGTACCAGTTGTATGGGGAGGAAGAGGTTCCTGCGGGGGGCATCATCACAGGGATAGGTCGTGTGTCAGGGTAATTATAAAATGTACTCACCTTGTATCTGGTGCCTTTCTATGTACCATGTAACATTGACTGTATATAATCCATAGTCAACTACCATTAGAAGGACATTTGTGTCTTTTCTGTTGAATGTTTTGTTTTTTCTTTCAGAGTGGAGTGTATGATTGTGGCTAATGATCCAACTGTGAAGGGAGGGTCATATTACCCCGTCACGGTCAAAAAACACCTGAGGGCTCAGGAAATAGCACAACAGAACCATCTACCCTGTATATACCTAGGTAAATAATATATCAGATATCTTACCTGTATATACCTAGGTAAATAATATATCAGATATCTTACCTGTATACACCTAGGTAAATGATAGTGCTGGGTATCGCGACAGAAAAATCGTATGGCGATATATTGCAATATTATATTTTGTATTGCAATATATCACGATATAAATACTGTAGACATACTTTTTTCCACGGGGTCATAATTCCGCGGAATCTCAATTTCTGTTTAATCCGCGGGTAGAAAATTACGCGGATTTCTTCACTATATGCCATACATTTATATTAAGTACGCTTGGACAAATTTCCGCGGAAATTGATACAACGCGGTAAAAAGTACTTCTACAGTATTTAATAATTTTTTGCTTTTTGCCAAGGTTAAATGAAAACACAAACTCAAATTACATGTATTCTCGAGTTGATATTCCAATTGCCTGATCGCATTATGTCGGCGCAAGCGACAAGATAAGTTTTTTTGTGACACAACTTGTTGAATTCAATTAAGTTGTATTCAGATTCAGCTTTAACATGAAGGGGTTTCATATAACAGTTGTCGTCGTTTCGTTTTTGAAAGAGACATGTCTCTAGTTTCTGATCACACTTCACGTTGCTTGCCTCCATATTTTACCTTGAAAAGGGCAAATAACTCTTTTTGTAACAATCTATAGCATATCGAACCCAAACGGGTATTCACAAAAAAATACTGCGATACCTATTGTGAAGAACGAAATCAGGATACACCGGTTAACCGGTATTATTATGCTTCCTGTCAGTTTGTCTCTATATAACCCATACCCTACTATTCTCGCATAGTGGTCTAAGGATTTATATAGCGTAAACATACTATGCCGAAATAGTGCACGGCTTTATTTACTGAATAAAATTCTTCAATGCACACGCCGAGGATCGAACTCACGACCATGAGATTGTCAGTCCGATGCCTTATCGATTACGCCACAGAGACGATCACTGTTTATGAGAGTTTTATTAAATATATAATCTTAATTTATACAATTGACACAAGAAGGAAAAAATAGACAAATATAATTTGAAAACAGTTATATTATTCTAAGGAACCTTAGATTAATGTGTACAACAAAGTTTCAAACTAATTACATACAGATCGTTAAATGAACTGATTTCATAGGTTCATCAAAATGCTTTTTTATATGACACTTGATTGAAGGATGTAAAAGAAAATTATCAATGAGAATCGACGTCTGCAAATAAATAAGTCTTACTAACAAAACAGAAAATAAAGATGAGTTGCTTTGGGACAGAAAATCCCGACTTATTTAGAAATAATACTAGTAACCAAAATAACTAAGAATGCAACCAATTTTAGCATGAAGATTTTGAATGAGTTCTTGCAAGTGCGCTGTGTTAGCACCGATATTTTCAGGAAAAAGTCAGATGGATTGCCGCATAAATAATTACAACAGTCAGCATAATAATAACAATAGTGTTGCATTATGTATATACTATGGTAAATAATAGGCAGGGTTTATACACAAAGTGCACTCGCCTCCGGCTCGTGCACCATGTGACAAACCCTCCCTACTATTTAGGCATAATACATGCATAATGCAACACTATTATATAAATATTGCACAGCACTAGTAAATAATAGACATCTTACCTGTATATACCTAGGTAAATAATATACATCTTACCTGTATATACCCAGGTAAATAATAGGCACCTTACCTGTACATACCTAGGTAAATAATAGGCACCTTACCTGTATATACCTAGGTAAATAATAGACATCTTACCTGTATATACCTAGGTAAATAATAGACATCTTACCTGTATATACCTAGGTAAATAATAGACACCTTACCTGTATATACCTAGGTAAATAATAGACACCTTACCTGTATAACCTAGGTAAATAATACACACCTTACCTGTATATACCTAGGTAAATAATTGACACCTTACCTGTATATACCTAGGTAAATAATAGACACCTTACCTGTATATACCTAGGTAAATAATAGACATCTTACCTGTATATACCTAGGTAAATAATTGACACCTTACCTGTATATACCTAGGTAAATAATAGACATCTTACCTGTATATACCTAGGTAAATAATAGACGCCTTACCTGTATATACCTAGGTAAATAATAGACACCTTACCTGTATATACCTAGGTAAATAATAGACATCTTACCTGTAATACCTAGGTAAATAATAGACGCCTTACCTGTATATACCTAGGTAAATAATAGGCACCTTACCTGTATATACCTAGGTAAATAATAGGCACCTTACCTGTATATACCTAGGTAAATAATAGATGCCTTACCTGTATATACCTAGGTAAATAATAGACACTTTACCTGTATATACCTAGGTAAATAATAGACATCTTGCCTGTAATACCTAGGTAAATAATAAACACCTTACCTGTATATACCTAGGTAAATAATAGGCACCTTACCTGTATATACCTAGGTAAATAATAGACACCTTACCTGTATATACCTAGGTAAATAATAGACACCTTACCTGTATATACCTAGGTAAATAATAGACATCTTACCTGTATATACCTAGGTAAATAATTGACACCTTACCTGTATATACCTAGGTAAATAATAGACACCTTACCTGTATATACCTAGGTAAATAATTGACACCTTACCTGTATATACCTAGGTAAATAATAGACATCTTACCTGTATATACCTAGGTAAATAATTGACACCTTACCTGTATATACCTAGGTAAATAATTGACACCTTACCTGTATATACCTAGGTAAATAATAGACATCTTACCTGTATATACCTAGGTAAATGATAGACACCTTACCTGTATAACCTAGGTAAAGATTAGCCAGAGATTCAGTCAAATATAACACTGTTACTTGTTGCATGTTATGAATTTTGATTTATGAAATAATTCTTTTTAATTAATAGTATTTTTTCCATTATTCATAGCCAAACTTCGCTTGTTATGCAAATTATCCCTAGTTTCTAAATATTGTGATGCCCTGACATACTCTACTTTTTTATAACTAGACAGTGATTCGTTAAACACATTTAGCAGAGCTTTAATTCTTGTCTTTTCCCCCTACAGTTGACTCGGGTGGAGCTAATCTTCCCAGACAGGAGGATGTATTCCCAGACAGAGACCACTTTGGAAGAATTTTTTTCAATCAGGCCAACATGTCTGCTCTCAAGATTCCTCAGGTAAACCATTATTTATTTTATATGTGTGAAATACATGTATGTATGTGCTTTGAAATGTTGAAATGCTCAATAAGGGAGATAACTCTGCATTAGGAAAAAAAATTATTGGAGAGAAAATTTCTTTTAGAATTTACACATACAAGAACTTACACATACAACTTAGCATATTTTGAAGTATTTCTTCTCTAATGTTATGATTTGTTTACAGATAGCTGTGGTTCTGGGTAGCTGTACGGCTGGTGGGGCCTATGTTCCAGCTATGGCAGACGAGAGTATCATTGTCAAGAAGCATGGAACCATTTTCCTTGGAGGTCCTCCTTTGGTATGATTTCTACCATCAGTTTTCTTACGTCTATAGAGATTTACCATCTTCTGTTATTTTATTTCAAAAGTTTTTGTGAATTGCATTGGCTGTGTATTCTTTTAAGCGCCTTTGGCAGAAAGAAACTTCCGCTAATTCAAGTACAATGCTCAAAGTCTTGCACATATACAAATAAATAAGAACATTTAAGAAATGCGCTAAATCAAATCTATGCCAACTTGTTCAAAAATCAATTTCCGCCAAATATTGTACATGCCAAATATAATACATTTACAGTATCTAGAATTTTTATTTTTAAATATAAAAATGCTGTCTTACAGAAAAATTTCATAAGTATTATCATACTCCATGACAACTACATTTTTGGGGGTTTTTCTTTGCATTTTGATGTTATGAATATTGTTTCATGAAAATGTCTGTCAAAAAGTTGCCAATTTATTCATATAAAATTAAAAACTCCAATTGTGTGCAATTAATTTGTCATCATGCTAAAATTTGAGATCCTCCTTGCATAATCTGTAAAATCTTGGATCCTCCTCACTGTTCTGTATTTGTAGGTGAAGGCAGCCACAGGGGAGGAGGTATCAGCCACTGACCTGGGAGGGGCACAGCTACACTGCAGGTCTGTTTTTATATTTATAGAGTTACTTGGTTTTCATATATACTGTATAATCACTTTTTGGGGGGGGGGGTCAAATTTTCAAGGTAAGGTTTGAGAAAAAATATTGGTTTTGGGGGAGTTTTATTTCAAGGTGAGAGAAAAGAAGAGTAGTAATGCTTATGGAAACAACTAAAATTAAACTGACACAAAAATTTAGTAATTTCACAGTATTTTCATATTTGAGAAAAGACATTTCATCTTTTTTTGGTGGAGTTTTGAGTACACCCAAGAAATTTGTGCTCAATATTTTGCAAAAAAGTCTGTTTTTATTTTAAGCCAGGTTATGATTTAAAATATCTCACTTTCAGCTGCCTAAATCCCATTCAAGCTCCTTGTGTAGCTGGGAGAAAAAATATGTTTTATTTAATTTTAATGTTCCTTTTTTTCTCAAATTTTTAAAAACCTGTCAATTTTAAATGAAATTAATTCTTGTTAACATTTATTACTTGCAGTAAGTCTGGGGTAACTGATTACTTTGCTCAAGATGACCTTCATGCACTCCACCTGGCCAGACGATGTGTCAAAAACATCAACTACACGAAGGACCCAAAGGTACAACATTTTGATACCTTTTTACACTGTGACAGAATATCACTTTTATTCTTTGAACAGATTCAATTAATGTATAGTATTTTTCCTGTTGAAAATGTAATAAAAAGGGTTCTTAAGGTAAATAAATTGAAAGAATTCACTCATCAAAAATCACTAAGGATCAGTGGCCTAGACAGCTTCTTGACTCCCTCCTTACTTTATCTCATTTTACCAGTATGATGTTGGCAGCTTTTTTGCTGTTGACTGTTGATACTAGTTGTACAGAGTCTGATATCAAAATTTATTTATAAATTTTAAGGTTACCATAGAAACCCCTGAGGAGCCTATCCACCTGGCTGAGGAGCTGTATGGAATTGTGGGAGCTAATCTGAAGAAGACGTTTGATGTTAGAGAGGTAATGTCATAGTCTGGTGGGTTTTACCTGAACAAAAGCCATACAGAGGATTGCTTCCTAAAAACTTATTATTTAAGTATTGAAATAAAACACATTTGCAACATAATCATGCATTCATTTAATTCAAACAATATTTTATATATTTTATTAGTAAATAAACGTACAGTAAAACTTGGTTATCATGAAGTCTCTGAGATCTATGATATTACTTCTCCTATTATACCCGTATAAGGAGTTCGTTGAATTGTATAGCTGGGGATCCAAGTTATAACTTCGCTATATCTGTGAACTTGCAATATCCTTTTTCATACTGAACAAGTTTTACTGTAATAGTATTGGGCAGCAGACACTGCCTATATGAGTCTTATCCATGTACTCATCATTGGCATAAACATGTGGTGGGTTTTACCTGAACAAAAGCCATACAGAGGATTGCTTCCTAAAAACTTATTATTTAAGTATTGAAATAAAAAACATTTGCAACATAATCATGTATTCATTTAATTCAAACGATATTTTATATATTTTATTAGTAAATAAACGTACAGTAAAACTTGGTTATCATGAAGTCTCTGAGATCTATGATATTACTTCTCCTATTATACCCGTATAAGGAGTTCGTTGAATTGTATAGCTGGGGATCCAAGTTATAACTTTGCTATATCTGTGAACTTGCAATATCCTTTTTCATACTGAACAAGTTTTACTGTAATAGTATTGGGCAGCAGACACTGCCTATATGAATCTTATCCATGTACTCATCATTGGCATAAACATGTCAAAAAACAACAATTTTGTATGAAAATTCATTCACTTTTTCAGGTCATAGCGAGGATAGTTGATGGAAGTAAATTTGATGAATTTAAAACAATGTATGGTGAAACCCTAGTTACAGGTAAAATGCTTCTTTCTGCAAAGAAACACTCATTCTATGACAAGTGAAGAAAACTTTCTATGACTTGTTGAATTAAACATTTTCAAAACATTAATTTTTCAGGTTTTGCTAGACTATGGGGATACCCTGTAGGAATTCTGGGTAATAATGGAGTGCTGTTTAGTGAATCAGCATTAAAGGTGGGGATAAAATCAATCCTCTTTCACAATAGTACCTGGTATTGTTAAATTATAAATCATTTGTCATACTTAAAAATGATTTTGATATTGAATTTCTATGCTTTGAAAAATAGAAGTTATGAGGAATTTGACTTTACCAATACTTAATTAATTTTTATCTTTTTGGCAGGGAACACACTTTATAGAACTTTGTTGTCAAAGAAACATACCTCTTATATTTCTTCAAAACATCACAGGTAAGATTAAGTTGTGACAAATCCATTGGATTAATTTATTTTTACCAATAGATACTTTGAAAGCTATTTCTTGGTAGCAATTTACTCGACATTTATATCCAATAAATAATGGTTCATATTTTTTGTAATAAGTTTTATAATTAGTCAATATGACATAATTATTGATATGTAAAAGCTTTTGTGGTTGGCCAGTTTACATATTCTTATGTAACAGGTTTTATGGTTGGTCGAGATGCTGAGGCAGGGGGTATAGCCAAGCATGGAGCTAAAATGGTAACAGCAGTGGCTTGTGCCAAAGTACCTAAATTTACTGTGATAATCGGAGGCTCCTATGGGGCAGGGAATTATGGGATGTGTGGTAGGGCATACAGGTAAATATACAGCTGATAAACTTATATCTTAGGTGTTTCTAAAGTAATTAAATATTTTACAAGTTTATAAATTGTGTCATTCTCTGAAGATTTAAAATTACACATCTGATGGTTCCTGATGTTTTCCATGATTGCAGTCCCGGGTTTCTATATAGGACCCTGTATTTTATTCTGTTTACACTCCTTTAAGTTTCTGTAAAGTAGTATCTGTTTTTTTTAGTCCCCGGTTCCTGTACATGTGGCCCAATGCCAGGATTTCTGTATATATGACCCTGTATTGTAGTATCTGGTTTGTTACAGTCCCCGGTTCCTGTACATGTGGCCCAATGCCAGGATTTCTGTATATATGACCCTGTATTGTAGTATCTGGTTTGTTACAGTCCCCGGTTCCTGTACATGTGGCCCAATGCCCGGATTTCTGTATATATGACGCTGTATTGTAGTATCTGGTTTGTTACAGTCCCCGGTTCCTGTACATGTGACCCAATGCCAGGATTTCTGTATATATGACGCTGTATTGTAGTATCTAGTTTGTTACAGTCCCCGGTTCCTGTACATGTGGCCCAATGCCAGGATTTCTGTAAATATGACCCTGTGTTGTAGTATCTTGTTTTGTTACAGTCCCCGGTTCCTGTACATGTGGCCCAATGCCCGGATTTCTGTATATATGACGCTGTATTGTAGTATCTGGTTTGTTACATTTCCTGTATGACCCAATATGTATATATGACACTGTATTGTAGTATCTGGTTTGTTACAGTCCCCGGTTCCTGTACATGTGGCCCAATGCCAGGATTTCTGTGATGGGAGGAGAACAGGCAGCCAGTGTGTTAGCTCAGATCACACGAGAACAGAGGATCAAGGCTGGGAAAGAGGTAGGCGGATCTCACATCTTTTATTTTAGGCTGTGTGGTTGTTTTGTGTGCTGGGAAAGAGGTGGGCGGATCTCATTTATTAAATTCATGCTTACATTAAGCAGTAATGGCTGCTCCTTCAATTAAATAGTATAAGTGCATATGTTTCCTTTAGAAAGGATTCAAAGAGACAATATTTGTTTTTTCAATTTACCATGAAATTTAACAAGAGGCCCACGGGCCTTATAGGTCACCTGAGTATCATGTAACAACTTTTGAACAATTGAATTTGGTTCTTGTTTTAAACTAGAAGGCCATGAAATTCACAATTTTGAAAGATGCTCCATTGCTTATCATAATGATATACTTAGCTTGCTTACTCTAGTTACTTAATACCCAGAGGTAGATCAGAGTAACAAAGAAAAAATGCACTTCCAACTTATAACCAGTTGTGAACCCCACCCTAAAGGAACCACCGACCCTGGGGCCACTTATTTCAAAATTTTGGAAATTTTATCATAAATTTTATTTCATCATAAATGGTTGATTAATACTAAAGAGCAGATTTCAAAGCATTAATTTACTTTCAGACTATGTAACCCCCCCTACCCCTGACCCAGGGGGCATGAAATTAACCATTTTGATAGAGGCACCTTTTTTCATCATAAATACATATACTTAGATCATTGGCATAATACCCAGGTGCAAAGGAAAAGGTTTTCAAAGAATTAAAGTATTTTCACCATATAATCAAAAGACCCCATTTACATAAAATGGGTAAACCCCTGACACAAATCAGGTTTAGGTACTCTTGCGCATTATAACTATATACTAATTTAGTTTATCTAATACCCAGGAGCAGAGATGAAGATTTTCAAAGAATTAATGCACTTTCGCTATATAAACCATAGAGCCCCACCCTAAGACCAGAACCCCTGACCCTGGGGCCATAAAATTCACAATTTTGGAAGAGGCACTCTTACTCATCATAACTATGTACTTAGTTATTTTATTTAATACCCAGGAGCAGAGAAGAAGGTTTTCAAAGAATAAATGCATTTTCACTATATAATCAATAGAGCCCCGCCCTTACACCAGAACCCCTGACCCTAGGGCATAAAATTCACAATTTTGGAAGATGCACTCTTGCTCATCATAACTATGTACTTAGTTATTTTATTTAATACCCAGGAGCAGAGAAGATTTTCAAAGAATTAATGCTTTTTCACTATATAATCAAAAGAGCCCCGCCCTAACACCAGAACCCCTGACCCTGGGGCCATAAAATTCACAAATTTAATAGAGCCACTCTTGCTCATCATAACTGTGTACTTAGTTAGTTTATTTAATACCCAGGAGCAGAGAAGAAGATTTTCAAAGAAATAATGCTTTTTCACTATATAATCAATAGAGCCCCGCCCTTACACCAGAACCCCTGACCCTAGGGCGATAAAATTCACAAGTTTGGAAGAGGCACTCTTGCTCATCATAACTATGTACTTAGTTAGTTTATTTCATATCTAGGAGCAGAGAAGATTTTTAAAGAATTAATGTTTTTAGCTCTTCTGAGCCAAAGGCTCAAAGAGCTAATGCTATGGCCATTTGTGCGGTGTGCGGTGTGCGTTAACTTTTTAGAATATGGGCCATAACTCAAGAACCCCTTGGCCAATCAGTACCAAATTTGTCACAGGGTATCCTTGGCCCAAGGGCTACCATTTATACTAAAATAAGGGTTGGAACCCTAAAACAAGGGGAGATAATCAGGAAAACAAAACCAAAAGTACTGGTTGCTAAAAAATCTTCTTCTCCAGAACCACCAGGCAGATTTTTACCAAACTTACATACAAGGATAAGGATATGTTGAAGATTAAAAATTGTTCAAGGCATGACCCTGGGGCAAAGGGCGTGGTCTCAAGGTCACTTCAAAGTTGACCTAAATTTACAATTAATAAAAACGTGTATATTTTTCTTACTATAAGGACTAGGATCATCAAATCTTGTAAGTTGATGCATCTTACGACTTCACATCATGTTAACTCAAAAGTAGGTCACGGTGACCTACTTTTTAAATTTTGTGGGGATTTGTTTTCAAATTGATTTGAAGGCATATTTTGGACTCTTTAAGGCCTATGATCATCAAACTTTGTCAGTTGATGCATCTTGGGTCCTTGAACAATGACAACTTAAAAGTAGGTCACCATGACCTACTTTTTGAACTTTATGACATCCTTTTAAAAACATTAAATCCCATTATTTCAGACACCGAGAGGTTTAGAATCATCAAATCTTGTACTTTGATGCATCTAGGGACCTTAAAACATATTTACGAAAAAGTAGATCACTGTGACCTACTTTTTGAATTTTGCCGACATTTGTTTTCAAATTGTTTAAAATGCATATTTTGATTACCTTCAGACCTACGATCATCAAACTTGGTCAGTAGATGCATCTTGGGTCTTTAAAAATGTCGACCAAAATGTAGGTCACGATGACCTACTTTCGACATTTTATGGCTGTATTTCAGTATCTTGGGTATTTATTGGCTTAGAATCATCAAACTTTGTGAGTGGATGCATATTTAGTTTTCGGAGAGTGACGACCAAAAAGTAGGTCATGGTGACCTACTTTTGACATTTTATGGCTTTATTTAATTATCTCTGGAACTAATTGGCTTAGAATTATCAAACTTTGTCAGATGCTGCACCTTGGGTTTTCAGAGAATGTTGACCAAAAAGTAGGTCATGGTGACCTACTTTTGAATATCTCAGGTACTTATTTAATTAGAATCATCAGTCTTTGTCAATTAATGTATCTCGAGTCCTCAGAAAATTCCAATCAAAAGGTAGGTCACTGTGACCTACTTATGGTATTTTATAATTATATTATAATATCTTCAGTCTTAACTGGCTAGATATTATCATACTTTGTAAGTTGATGCATTTTGGGTCTTATGATACTAATAGAGTTGAAGGCTTCTAATAGAAGTGATAGATTGTACAATTTATCAGAAGAGCGATTCAAGGCCCTTGGGCCTCTTGTTTCACTATATAATCAAAAGAGCCCCGTCCTAACATCAGAACCCCTGACCCTGGGGCCATAAAATTCACAAATTTAATAGAGCCACTCTTGCTCATCATAACTATGTACTTAGTTAGTTTATTTAATACCCAGGAGCAGAGAAGAAGATTTTCAAAGAAATAATGCTTTTTCACTATATAATCAATAGAGCCCCGCCCTTACACCAGAACCCCTGACCCTAGGGCGATAAAATTCACAAGTTTGGAAGAGGCACTCTTGCTCATCATAAGTATGTACTTAGTTAGTTTATTTCATATCTAGGAGCAGAGAAGAAGATTTTTAAAGAATTAATGTTTTTTTCACTATATAATCAAAAGAGCCCCGCCCTAACATCAGAACCCCTGACCCTGGGGCCATAAAATTCACAATTTTGGTAGAGCCACTCTTGCTCATCATAACTATGTACTTAGTTAGTTTATTTAATACCCAGGAGCAGAGAAGAAGATTTTCAAAGAAATAATGCATTTTCACTATATAATCTATAGAGCCCCGCCCTAGCACTAGAACCCCTGACCCTGGGGCCATGAATTTCACAATTTTGGTAGAGGACTCAATGCTCATTACATTCATACCAACAGTTTGACTGCTTGTTGTCCAGGAGTAGAGAAGAAGATTTTTAAAGATTTCATTAATTTTAGTGGTTTTGGCCCTACCCCTCAGGCCCCAGGGGGGCGGGGACCATGAAATTCACAATTTATGTTCCCCTTCAACCATAGATGCTGTATACCAAATTTGGTTGAAATCAGTTCAGTGGTTTCAGAGAAGAAGTTGAAAATGTTCAAATGTTAACACACGACACACGACGCACGACGACGGACAAAAACGGATAGCAATAGGTCACCTGAGTGACTCAGGTGACCTATAAATGTAATTTAAAAAGATATAAGCATTCAGTCTTAAGTTTTGGATGTTAAAACACAGACAGAGTACTGTGCAGACAAATTTTCATTTTTCAATTTATCAGCATAGCTTTCTGTGTCATGTTGCCTTGAACAACCAGAAGGCATGGCGAGGGTGAAAATATATCCCTTCATTTGGTATTAAAAACTATTTAAAAAATTAAACCAATAGAGGAATTTAGATAATAAAGTTTGTATTTGTCAATTGAGACCCTAAAATGGTGCAAACCATGTAGCTTTAAAACAAGAACTGATTTTGATTTACAGGATAAGTATAGGATGCATGATAGTGATAAATTGTTAATGAGAAAAAGGATTTATCTCCCTTATAATTATGATGTAATTTGATATTACAGTTCACACCAGATGAGGAGCAGTTAATAAAGGTCCCAGTGATAAAGAAATATGAAAAGGAAGGTCATCCCTATTATGCCAGTGCTAGGTGAGAAAAAAACAGACACAGTAAATATAACAGATAATTTCTAGGTGGGGATGTCTTGTTCATATTTTCTTATTAGATTTTATCCTTGTGAAAAAACCTAATATTTAATTCCTATGTCAGAGGGAAATACTAGAGATGTGCAACTCCACTTTAAATCTGTAAAATGATAAAATTCATTTGCTTAAGTATGTGTAAAATATTTTTATGCCACAAAATATTGAATGTGCCTTCAAAAATAGCATAATTCTAATGAAGGTTCAATTTTGGACTTCAAAGTAATGAACTCTCCTATGAAATTTTGAACCCATATTTTTGTTCTAAAATATTGTTTTGCAAGTTCAATTATTTGCATTTGCAACAACATATTAGCTCCAATTTGTATTTACATTGTTTTGCATGAAAAGGGTTGGGGGTGGGATGGCTGGAATGTATTAGAAGAGGTTTTGAGACTCAAAAGATTCTACACCTATAAGACATCTATTTTTAGGATCTCTTAAAATTTTAAACGCTGGTGTAATATAATTTGACAGGTTATGGGACGATGGAGTTATAGACCCTGTGGACACACGCACTGTGTTAGGACTGAGTCTTAGTGCCTCTCTAAATGCCCCTCAACAGACCACACGGTTTGGAGTATTCAGGATGTGAGGGGCACACTGTTGTTCACTGAACAGTGGAAAGATACAAACTGTCTTGATAAGCAGTCTAGAAAGTGCAGGACATTTTGTGATTGTGTAAGCTATTGTGAAAAGTTCGGTACTGCTGTCATATTTAGTAATTTGTTTGGTAAAGTACAGGTGTTTTTGTGGAGATGAAATTCAAACCATATCAGGATTTGTCTGCTGTATGATTAACGAAAGATGAAACTATAATCTTAGGCAAAGAAATTATTTATGTGTGATGTTTAGAATACTCAAAGTGTGTGGATCAATTTGAATTCAATGTGTACATGTTTAGCATATGACATACATTTATACATTATAGAGTAAACTATTTTGTCAAATGTATGAATATTTTGTTTGATAGTAAAGCAAATCAAGTTTTTATTTAAGAAATGGATGTTTTTATGATTCATGAGGACATATATGTACATTTATATAAATGTTTAATAAAAATGTCTATGTCATTCTGTTCATGGGTTTTTTAAAAATCTTAAAATGAAGATATTTTTTCAGCATTTTTATTGAGTAACTTCTATAAGTAACAAAAAAAAAAAAACAACAGAATTAAATGAGTATTTTTTCCACACCAGTAATATCATGTCATTTCAAGCAACAACAATGTAAGAGTCTAAAATATTATTATCAATTGCAAAAGCTTTAACAGAATTACACTTTCTCCCACTCTTTTAAAGAAATACAAATGTACATTCTTTATACATGTACATGTATAGCTTTCTTTTTTCCCTATGTCACTTGGTATTGTTAGAAAGATTCCCTATGTCACTTCCACTTGTTAGAAGAGTTTCGTTTGTCATTTCTCAATAATTTAATTTTAGTTGTAACATGTCATTTTATTGGATAAAAGATTTTATTCATTTTGTATAATATAACTTGCCAATGTCAGAATGAGTTACGTCAAAAACGTATTGCTCCGCTTGACGTTACTTTTAAAATGTGCTTTATTTGAAGCCTTTTTTCTGGAGGAAAAATTATCTCATTTTCTACACTAAAAATTAAATTATAAGGAATGAAGCTTTTTTCAACTTTTGTTTATATACGATATAACATAACTTGGGTCAGTTTATGCTTTTTTATAAACGTAAACTGTCCCAAGTTGTGTTATATCATATAACAAAATTTGAAATAATCTTCATTCCTTAATTATAAGAGAGGTTTCCAAGTATGTCACTTTCTAAAGAAAGATTCCCTACAGGACTTCCTATAAGAAAGGTATATACTATGTCACTTCCTAGAAGAAGAAAGATTTTCTATGCTGCTTTCCATAAAAAAAGATTTACTTTATCACTTTCCATGAAAAAGAAAAAAAAATATGTCCATTCCCAGAAAAAAGATTTTTTTTCACGTTCTATGAAAAAGAAAAATTTTCTATGTGACTTTCTATGAAAAAAGAAAGATTTTCCATGTCATTTTCCAGAAAAAGAAAGATTTTCTGTCATGTCACTTCCCATAAAAAATATTTTCTTTGTCACTTCTAAGAAAAAGAACAATTTTCTTTGTCAATTCCCATGAAAAAGAGAGATTTTCTATGTCAACTCTCAGAAAAAAAGATTTTCTATGTCAACTCCAAGAGAAGAAAGTTTTTTTATTTCACTTCTCAGAAAAAGAGAGATTTTCTGTCATGTCACTTCCCATAAAAAAAGATTTTCTATGTTAATTCCCATGAAAAAGAAGATTTTCGATGACACTTCCCATAAAAAGAAAGATTTCCTATGTCTCTGCAGAAAAAAGAAAGATTTTTCTATGTCATTTCTTAGAAAAAGAAAGATTTTCTTTGTCACTTCCTATAATAAAAAGGTTCTCTTCGTTACTTCTAGTAGTGAAAAAGGTTCCCAGTTGACTTCAGAAAGTCAGAGAGGTTTCCTCTGTCATTTCCTTTAGTACAAAAGGTTCCCTGTTTAACTCCTTATTTCCTATCTCACTTTTAATTGTGAGTAAGGTTCCCTGTCACTTTCAATCGTAAGTATGATTTTCTATGTCACTTCTGATTGTAATAAGGTTTCCTATGTCACTTCCCATTGTAAGAAAGTTTTCCTATGTCACTTCCCATTGTAATATTGCTAAATCCCGGCCACCAACAGAGAATAGGAACTGGCCGTCCTCACTGAACACCAGGTTCCTCACACCGCTGTGACCTTTGTAAGTATGACAGTAGGCCTGTAAAAGTAAAACATCAATGTACAACCAAAGGTATGTAGATATTGGTGTAAACTTGAATAATTATATAGTTGGTTGTGGATTTCTGTTTTGTAAAAGGCATTTGTTTTCTTTCTGTAATTTTCATATTGTATCATCTAAATGTTTATTTCAGTGTTTTCCCTTTGTAATGTGCAAGCAAGTTTATATAAACACTCGGATGACAGGGGGTACACGGCGGGTGTGACCTGTCTGCAGAGGATGCTCACTCCTCCATGGCACCTGATCCCACCTCTAATATTTTGGAGGTCCGTTTTTGTTCCGCTCCTATTTTGTAATGTTTAATGGATTTTTGAGCTCGAATACTGTTCGTTTTTTCCACATTTTCATTCTAGAAAGTAAATCTAAACGAGAAATGGTAATCAATAGATTTTTTTATGTTCATCATTTTTCAATACCACTACCAATCTTAATTTATTTTTCTTGTTAGCCGTGTTCATCACAATTAAGATCGTTTAAATACAAATTAAACATCATACAGAACTCGACCTACTCCCTGTTTGAAGCATGGATATCTGAAGAGACTGATATGCCCGCTGGAGTCGCCCATGGCCACCAGGCTGTTCTGTGAGTTGACGGCCACACAGTGGACGTCGTAGTTCTTGGCCTGCTTACAGCTCCACAGTCCACACATACTGACGTCCACTGCGCACGTCTCTGTCTCCCATGGTATTGACCTTGTGTCCAAATCCTTGTCTTTCTGACTAAAGTCGGTAGCGTTCCCTGAAAGTATTTGACAGAAGTCTCAACACGTTCACGTTTCTTTCTCTCTTTAATGATAAAGTACGTGGAGATTTGGATAATTTGCTAAGAAAAGATATACATTGTACATGTATATATTCAGCATTATTGCTAAGGAGGTAAGTATATGTAAAATCTAATTATAATTTGAGAGTTCAGAAGTTTGCGTTGTCAAAAGTATTCGTTTCATTATGCCTTTTTAACGTTTCAATATTCAGCCCTTGCTATAGACAAAGTTACTTACAGACAAACTGTTCTGGTACTGAAGTACAGCTTTTTATTAAGTAACCAGTATCCTGTGGCTCAGAAGACCAATCAAACGACTGTACTGGACCCGTGTGATCCTTCATAACGGTAAGAAAGAAAACCCACATGAGATTGACAGCAATTTATCAAATTAATTCTTTTTATTTTATATTCTAAGATACTACTGATCAATACTTTAAAATGGATGATTTTTTTTACTCAATACCTGTTCTTAGTAAAGAAATTATTTACTTTAATTTTTTTTTCTAATTTTCAGACCACAAAATGAAGATGGTTTAATTCTTTGGTATGTTTACCTTGAATTTCCCCGTGAATTCCCAGCTCTTTGAGCCGTCCTCCTTATTGGCAAGACAACAGACATAGATACAGCAGTCAGCTGATCCAGCAGCTAAAAACGTACCATCTGAAAGTGAACAGAGGAATTGCAAACTGGAGATGAACAACACCGATGAATTTCAAGGTAAGTTGAGTATGGGGTACGTTGATTATTCACGATATAAATTAAAATTTTTCCAGATTCAATGAAACATGTGTTTACGATAACAATTAGTATTCAAGATCAAAAACCCATAAAACAATACAAAATAGGAGCAGAGCAAACACGGACCTCCAAAACGTCAGAGGTGGGATCAGGTGCCAAGTTTCATTTTCAAAACAAAATTATTTTTAAAGTCAAGATCTTGAACTAATAATTTGAAAATTAAATTTAAATCACAAGAAAAATGATCAAGGATTCTAGAGACTCTTAATTTTGAATGTCAACTGTCTAAAAATTCCTTAACAATGATTAGCGCATTCATCTTAAAAAAAATTAAGTATGCTCTTTTGTAGTTTGTTTTTATCTATCATAATAATTATAATAAATTCCAGAAATATGATAAAAGTTTACTCTTTTTTGTCTCAATCTAATCAGAATTAGGTTTTCGGTCAAAATCAAATAGATCGCTACATTTGGTGATCTATTTGAAGCAGATCAAAGATTTAATTTTAAGTAGGTGATTATGAAATCTTCCCAACTTACCAGGTGAGAACTTAATTGTAGTTATTTTGTCTTTACAGAGTTTCTGATGAAAAGACTCCGTGCTGGAGACGCCATCTATGTCGAGGACGATCACACTTGAAATAAAAAGATAAAACATTTAAACATCCAAGAAAAGACACCAAATTGTTATCCGAATTGAGCAAGTCGTGTAAGTAATAACTATTTTTATTAACGATCATCATTGATGGATTCAGTTATAATGATTCTTACTGTCCATCTCTAGTTCCCAAAGCTAAATGTTTTCCTAATGGAAGCGCATCAACACAAAGAAACTGTACACCCTGAAATAGGAAAAAGATATGTCCCATCATCTCTTAATATCAAGGATTGAAAAAAAGATCTTTTGGAAAAAACAATTTTTTCCTTTCATGTGAAGCGAAGAAACATTATTTCGAACCCCCGGTTCAAAATTATTTTTGAATAATAATTAATTCTTTAGTAATGGAAAGAACAATTAAGTGTGAAATTTATTTGTAACACTCCCTATTCATCATTGATATATATAAGACTTAACTGTGATGGTCCCAAGAAGCAACTGCAATGGAAGTCAGCTGCACATAAACTATAAATTGAGACTCAGAATTTCCTTTCAACCGGAGTTGCAACCAATGATTGAATATTCGCAAATGGATAGTGAATGACAAAATAAGAATTCAAATATTTGGCCACGTGTCTAAAACCCGTATGCAAAGCTGTTTACAGTACAGCATCCAATCATTAAGAGAATTTTTTGTTGGGAGTTTAAGAATTAACTAAAATTTGACTGTATAAAAATAAATTATTAGACAATTTAAATTCAAACTGTTTAACTTTTCCCCATTCTGTCATAAGATAGTAATTTTTTAAATCCTGATTCTGGGGTCGTATTTAGTGTGGCACATTTTACTTTTATCTATAGATACATGTATCTATGTCTACTTTGACATTTAAGATTTACATGTACGAGGGCTGTTGAATGAATAAGGTCATCGGTGCTCGGAAAGAAAAAAAAAAGCTTTTCAACGATGAAGTCTTGATTATTTTACTTAAATATTCTCTTTTAACTAAAATATATGTCCGTAACATTTTTATTCAATTTCTAATTGTTTTAGAACTTACTTTTGAGTATGGCCCTTCGTATATTGGAATATGACAGATCCTATGATTTCCTGAAAGGTGTTTTTTTTTCAAGTTTGGGAAATAAACAAATCAATGGTTGAAGAATCTTGTGAATATTGTTGGTGTGACAAAACATAACCCCAAAACTACTTTACTACTACTTTACTGCTACTTTACTCAATCGTCATGGCCTGTGGGTTTGTACGCTGTCATGAAGAAATTTGATGTAGTGCATGGATTCCTGATTCTAGTTCCTTCCTGTCATAAACCTTTGGACTTTTTTGCAAAAAGTTTGCTTTCTAAACTCCTCCAGAAATTGAACTGCCTCCCCGAATAAGAATTTGAACAAGAAAACCACTTTTATTTAAGAAGATAGCACATAAAACTGTTTTTGTGCCCTTGCAATTCTTTGCTCTTATCATGCCTTTGCTGTTTTGTCAAGTGCATCTTATTAATGTAAATTTGTTTTGAGGGTTTAAAGTAATGGATTCAAGTTTCATTATCTGTTTGAATTTCAGACAAACGTGGATAAGTACAATTTTTGATTTTTAAAAATAATTGTTAAGATATTCTTACACGCTGTCGTTTTCAGTCATTTTCCAAAACATAGGATGACCTTTGAGTATAAAGCTTTATTTACTGTCAAATGTTTCTTTAAAACATTGTAAACTACCCCCAAAATGATGCCTATCAAATTTGCTATGTGTCTTAAAGTCAATCAAACATCATCAGTGATAATTTGTTGAATTTTGGCAAACAGTACATTGGTTGTTGTAAGTCCTTGTCGCCAAGAACGGTACCCATTTTTGATGCCCATTTTATCATTTTTGTTCATTGAAATACACCGTATATGTGTGTATAAAACAGATATTGGTTGCTGTAAACTTTACATATTTCAGTAGATATTTATCTGGGATTCTAAACAAGTTTCACAGCAGCTTTAATGAAGCGTTTAATTTCACTCTAGTTAACTGATTCTTTACCATTCATTTGTAATGCAGTGTCTCAAATAGACCTTGATTTCCAGCTTCCCACAATGATACTATGTGATAAAAAGTGGTCAAAAAACTGTTATCAATTCATTAAAGATTCAATAATGAGAGAAAGTCAAGCTTAATGTCATATGATTTCTATGTTGTATGTCATGATGATATTATTAATTGAACAGCTCTCGTAAAGGTGACTGATACCGACCTTTAACGCCAGTTTACAGACTGGGTCCCTGCCGTGAGGATTGAACCAGCACAGGATCCCGTCAGTCCCTGCGGTCACTATACTACCCAAAGTATCCTTCCGGGAGACCACGCCCAGCCCCCGCACCTCACTGAAATGACCCTAGGTAACACACAAAACACTCGGTCATAAATCATATTATTTACATTAAGTGATGACTAATTTTGTACTGGTAATTCGTATTCTTGTAATGATGATGCAGTATGAGATAAATGTGTCTACAACTGCATTACTTATTAATTGGGAGGACCCCAACTATTTGTTGCAGTATGGTTATATTGTGAAATTTGGTAAAACAATGTTTATGAACCTTCCCCCAAAACCCATAACCACCAGCCACAAAATATTATTTTCGAGTTTGGATTTTTTTTTTTGGCTTCTCTCTCTCTCTCTCCAATTTCAATAGCGAAACTGGTGCCTGGTGTTATTGAAAAATACACTCAAGTATTTTATTTATAGACATGATAGATGCGAAATCTTTTTCTTTCATAGATTGTATTTTCATATCATTAATGTTACTACATGGATTTATACCTGCGTCATGGGAACTTGATCAAGAGTCACATTTTTAAGTGGAGCTTGTTTCTTTGGTGAAGTGATTGACAGCATTGAGTTAACTGTTGTACCAATGATAATCACGTCACCATGGAGAACCAAGAGTCTGACTCCGCCCTCTGACTTAGGCAGCTAAGGTTAAAAGAGGAAACGAAATATCCTTGACAGTTGTATTGAAAGGACGACATGACATGAATAGTGACGAAAAATGCATGTTATTACATTTCTTTTGAACTGTTCTAATTTACCGAACAATCGTGACATTAATTCTATTATACCAATTTGCATGGTTTAATATGACAATTTTATAAGCCAATTATTCTCATAATTAGCTAATCAACAAGATTTCATGGACACTTTTAGATCTTGATTTATTTCTAGAATATTAAGATGATTGTAGCTACAGCAAGAAAATTAAGAATCTCGCCTTGTTTGTACCTGTAGCTCACCATCTTTCTCCATATTTTTATTGTACTGCCAGCAGTAGATAAACCCGTCCCTACCCCCTGTCACAATGTAGGACTTCATACACAGGACTGTAAACACGGGGCCCTACATTGGAAGGAAAAGTTTTTTTTTTAGATGAGAACTAATCTAGTTTAGGAAGACATGATAAAATATCAACAGTAAAGTACATGTTATTTGCTACATGTTTCTAGCAGCAGGAAATGTGAAAGGTGTTGCATTTAAATATGCGTGATATACCATTTTCAATAGAACAATGTTAGATTCTGATTCACTGTTTTTTTTTCCAGGAATTCATTTAATTTGCAGATGCAATTGCATTAGGCGAATAGTCATTCCTTATAATTTAATTTTAAAATAATTAAACAACGGGATGTAAAATTGTCTCTTCCGTTAATTAAATGTCATTGACATAGATCTAGCAGCCATGAGCTTGTTTACATAAAACACATTTGCTATTAGATTTAATAGTGCAATTTAACTACAAAATGTTATGCACAAAAAATAAACTAAATTATTTGTTTAGTGCAATTTAACTATGCACAAAAAATAAACTAATTTGTTTGGCGCCCATTTATATCAATTATGCAGAGAGAACACCGTGTATACGTCATCAGTGGGCGTGACTCACGTCGTGGGCGTGTTTGATGAAGTTGGTGATTTTGTTTCCTCCGTCCCCCCAGACATACACGGTCCCGTTAGAGTCCCCCGTCAGGAGGTCTCCTCTGTCATTGTGAGTCAGACATATCACGTACTTAGCCTTCAGAAAATTCTGTAAGAAACACAGAAGGAGTGTATACTAAAGCGATTTAGTATTCATTTAAAACTCGTAGTATCTCAAAATTTCCAGAAGCCTTTCGCTTATCATCCATCTATTTCTTTTACATTAGAATCATAAATCATTTTACAAGATCAAATCAAAAGGTTACCTCGATGTTCAAAAAATATAGGTTGTGCATTTTTACAGTCTAAAATATTGCACTTATTGTAAACGGAAAACAGAAATCAGAACAGAAAAGTCTTATTACTTAGTTTCTTTTTGTTCATTGATAGAGTTACACTGATTATCCCATACCTCGTAGTCAGGTTGTGCCAAAGGTTGAATCATCCGCGAATGTGAGTAAATCTTCCACCAGGTCAGGTGTTCTTTGCCCGAAATGACGAGAACATCCGGGTATTTTGTGTTAAACTGTAGATCACATATCACCTCTGTATTTACCTTATATTTAAAGATATATCAATTAAAATCTTCAACTGAAAGTTATATTTGTGCAGTCCTTATTACCTTTATTTATGAACAATTGTTAAACATAATTTTATAGAACATGCAGTGTGGTTTGTTAGTATTTTAGTCTTCAAAGGAAAACGAAATAGGCAGCATATGGTATAATGATGATCAAATTGTACAGAAGGAATAACCTTCACTGCATTGTATCATCTAAGTCCTAATCCTAGAATACCTTATAGATTTCCATTTTACTGTATTGAATGGTAATGTTTGGTATAAGGGCACTAAGAATACATTTCTCTTGTCACTGTTTTTTTTTTAATATGTACAGAGAAAAATATTTTTCATTGCATAATTGTAAAATCGTATTTGGGTGAGAATAAGAACATTATAACCAGAAAACAAATAAAATCTGACAATTTAATTATTAATAAATAAATAGGCGATCGCCCCACAGACACTTGTTTGGAAAATAAATTTTAACCCATAGTCTATTTTTTTCTGAAAAAAATGCCTGAAGTATTTTAGTCTGTACAAACACGTTTACGAATACATACCGTGATGTCCCCCTTGAGTTCCCCCGAGCTGACGTCCCACAAGGTCAGGCGCTTCTCTGGGCTGTCATCCACGGCCGCCAGAAGGTCCTGTTATATTATATTACAAAAGTATATATAGAAAAACAACATTTTATTTCGTTTTTACATACGTGTGTATATGAACTTATTACATGCATTTATCTTGTATAAAAACACATATGCAGGTTTTATTTTTACATTCACACAAATGTTTAATTTGTTGCAATTGACTTAAGGTCAAGATCTAGTGAATGAAAGGTGACTACAGATTTATCAAATTTGCTATATAAATTCCTTTAATGATGCTTTACAACTTTACAGATAACGTGAAATGAAAACCCATTTTTAAACTGTCATTTTTAATGAAATATAAAGAAAACCGTTATGAATATGGAAGTTTTTTTCATATTCGACAAAGGAAATGTATCCAGATTGCTTACAGACTTTCAGAAAACGGTAATTTGTATGTTCATTGCATCTTCTTTAAAATAACACCAAATTTAATATAGGTATCGGGATTACTTTTCATATGATTTCAAATTGAATGCCATGAAAATACGATATTTTCTACATAATTCTGTTAAAGCCGTCAAGCACGGGAAAAAGAAAATTGAAATTGATTATGACGTCATAATGAATCTAGCACCAAAAAAATTGTCTGAAGTCATTAATAATTAAACAGAAATTTAAGTCTAGTCCTTTCAGGTTCTTTTAAAAATAATTAATGTATAAAGTATTGAATAATTAAACATTTAAGTACAGATTATACAAACTTTTGTTTTCTTTGGAGGAGACTTAATATCATATCAAAAGTTTAGAAAAGTGGAAAATTCGTAGAATATTTTCCCCTAAGAACTGGAAAATGAAATACACTTGGAAAATATTTGTAATATTTCAAAAAAACAACAAAAAAAACAAATAAAGACAAATCACATTCAATAAAGGATTACAGGTGAAAACAAATTTCAGAATATGTTAGTTTGGAGCTGAAAGGGTAATATTATACAGTTATAGAATGGGTATGAGGGAAATAGCAAATTTATGGTTCCCCAAGGGAGGACACTATTTTGATTTAACTGTTTTATTATACCGAAGCAATCATAGGCGATTTAATTTCTTTTACCAGATAATCCGACGTTAAAAAAAAACAAAAGTAGAGGCATAATTACAAATGCATGCGGTTTAACACGTATGATAAGTAATGCATCGTGTCCTAAAACAATTTATTCTTGAAAAGTATTTTCACTGACATTTCGGAGAGTTATCGTTGTCTTCATTGTGCTAAAATTCAAGTATGATTTTGGCATCGCATGTCGAAATGTTTTGACGTCATAGTTACCTTGCGAATAACATGACGTCACAGACTCGAGATTCCTTGAACGCTCCGCCTACTGAACTCTTTGATTGGTTAAAATTACTAATAAATATTCATGAGGGAGTAGTCCCAGGGAGTACCTCTGATTTTCCAGGGAGTAGTCTTCAGTTGAAGGTAGTAGTCTCTTCTCGGGGAAATAGACAGTTTTATGGTATTAATTTTATATAGAGTAATTACAGTAGAGGTATAATAAAAAAAAATATACAAAGCCAGGTGAATTTTATTAGGAAAAACAAAATGACCAAAAATCAGCAATTTTACATAGGCTAATTCTTACTGTTTTGGTTTTCCTAATAAAATTCACCTGACTTTGTATATTTTCCTCAAGTTTATATCACACGCTTTAGCACCAATCTAACATATTCTGGCATTTGTTTTCATCTGTAAACCTTTACTGAGTGTGTTTTGTTAATATTTGTAATTTAAGTGAAATATTACTAATACTATCCAAGTCCATTTCATTTTCCAGTTCTTAGGAGAGAAAAGATTCTGAGAATTATTCACTTTTCCTGTGACATGATATTAAGTCTCCACCAAAGAAAAAAATTGTTTGTATCATCTGACCTTAAATTGTATGTTGAATCCAGTTTTTATTTAATTTCCCAGCTAGATGGAAATACAAGAGACTTACAGACGGCCCTGAGAAGGCCATTGCCAACACAGACTTTTGATACATCCCAGCACCGAGCAAGTGTATTGTTTGTAATGTATCGGCCCGCCATACCCGGATGTGAGCCTACAACAAGTGTAATACCAGCAGGATAAAGTCCAATTAAATATGTTTTGTTTTGAATGCACTCTATAATTTTTTTTGTAATTTAACTCATACTTACATGAAAGTTGCAAGCATGCAAAATTAAGTCTGATCAAGCTATTTTCGAATGATTTAAAATGGAATTTCAATGTTGCACAGAAAACTTTAAAATTCTCATGGTTTAAAATTTTGTTGATTCTTTCCATGGGTTTTTTTTAAAGGTTATTGATTGTTAATTAATTTTTAAGGGTTGGTTTAAATGGTACATTGCTGATGTATTACCTGCTTTGGAGTGTTGCTTTTACTGGTAAATTGTTATTTTTTTATTTCACAAATTCGTGTACAATACAGTGCAAATCAGCAATTTAATTCTTCATAAAGCATACAGCATACAATGCAAATATTCAAAATCTTTTGATTGCTGATTGAAAGGAAAGGATTGGAAGAGAGAGAAAGAGATAGGAAGGAGGAGAGATGCTGCTTATTAACAAATTAAATGAGAAAACTTTTTTGGGGGGTTAGTTTAATTTTTTGATATTTTACCTGGTTTTTAGGGTTGACTTTGCTGGTAAACTGTCCAGTGGCCACTATATTTCCATTGTAATGTACATTCAAACTGAAACAAAGTTCAAAAATGGAAATAGAACTCAAACAGAATTCAAACGGAATAAGTTAAATGATGCCAGTACATGTAACTCAACTATGAAAAAAACTGCAAACAGATTGCCAGTGCAGTTTTAAAACTATCAAAAAGATGAGAGATATATCTAGTATTTATTATATTCTGCAGTTAAAGAAGAGCGATTTAAGTTTTATTATGATATGTCTTGTTTCAGCTCGGCTCGACCTAGTTAAACTGCTTCCTGCAGGTCTATTCATTGAGATATTTACTAAATTACTAGCTAATTGCAGACTTGTTCGACTTGTTCATTCAGTAGTTTACACAACTATTTCCAAATAAATTACGTTCAGCTGTTTCATACAATTATATATATAAATAAACTGCTTACTACAATTCGACTATTTGCTTGTTGTAACCAAACTCAACTGCTGACCGATTCTTTTAATTTAGCTATTTACTAAACAATTTGTTGTGAATTAACTTCTCATTTTGTCACATACATCTTGTTATTTATCCAAAACACGTTCAAAGAGCTGCCCTTGCCGACCTATTCACTCTTTAATTACCAAATGGAAAAAAAAACCTTTCCTGGCAAGCATATTCATTCCATACTTTTTACCTAGCCTATTTAAAATAAACTGCTCATTGCTGTTTTATTCATTTACATAACATCTGTTTTTTGTAACCTACACAATGCATGTTGATTAAATGAACTGTTACTAATAATCCCAAAAAATGTTACTTCAGGTCTCTGGTTTTTTTTTTCAGTTTTTAAGTTCCTTGTCAAATAATTTAGGTGTAAGCAAACTGCTTGCAGGCTAATACGATTATTAAATTATGCAAAGTACGTCAATTGCAACTCTTTTTTGGATTTCTAGGAATGGTAGAATTTGTTCGAAATCATTTAATTTTGTTTTACAAATCCTGTATAGCATTTTAAATTAGACGTTCTTTTGATGAAATTTATAATTTATTGCATTATTTTTCATATTATCTAACCCTAGGTCAATTATTTTTTTAAAAAAAAATTATGATTTAAATTCATTTTAGCATCATTTGGACTGAAACATTTCTTGCCAACAAAATTTTCAATTTACACAGGTTCCCTAGAGATTATTTTGCAAGAATATCATAACAGAAAATCATACAAAATTTTAAAGGTGCATAGACACAGATTTGAAGTTAATATTTTCTGTTTTATATAATGACTTGTATGTTGTAATAGCATTTCATACGAAAATAAATTTAAAAAGTCCAAAGTTTTAATATTTTTCATTAATACACAACAAAATTGCCACTTTTCTTAAGTATTAAGAATACAATTAAAATTTGTGAAAGTGCAAGGGTGTGTCAATCAAACCCATCCAAAAATTGAAAGTTTCAATAACTTTTAGATGATATAAGATTTTTGATATATTTCCGTGTGAAATGCTATTACAATATATAAGTCGTGATAATATACATAAAATATTAACTATGCACCTTTAAGGACACACTTATATTACCATTTAATGTCCTCATTGTGTTCACGGTAATGCCTTTGTTTGTGTGTCAGCCTGCTGTACAGCACTGCGATGTTGGCAATAAAGTACACTATCTCATCGGAGGCCAGGACGAAAATGTTACTACGGCAATCGTTACCACGGTAACCATATCTATAAATATAAATTGAAAAAAGTTAAAATTAGACTTGTTCAGATTGCATTGTTATTATAAATAACATGGGTAAAAACTGACATGAAGATGCATGATACTTACACCCAGTTTAACTTCAGTCTGTTGGTTGGCGGATCAAGGATCATTGGGGTAGTGTTGACATTACAGGGTGGTTGGAATTCTATACTTCGGCCCTTCACCGTGATTGAAAATGTATGTCTCTCATTTTTATGGATTTGCTGTAAAGCTGCAATGTTAATATATATTTGCATATAATGTCAATTTTAACAATTAAAGTCATATTTATAAGTTTATTTGCAGCTGTATATTTATAATGCATATAATATTTTGTACTAATTTGTCATCAAAGGCAGTTTTAGACTACCCATGTGACTTTCGAAAACATTTTCTTTTTGTTTGGTCTAAGGACAGATGATTCAAACAAACTTTTCGCTAAAAAATTGAAAATAACAACTTGAGTCTTGTTTTAATGAGTAAGTTGAACAAGTTTCACTGCGTAGTTTTTCAATTTTTATTCAAATTTTCACAAAAAAGGGATTTGAAGCAAAAAATATTTGTATAGATTAATAAGGATGGTTTCAGAGAGGCAGAGTTTTTAATACCATAGAAGGTTTACAATGTCTTTTATATTCTAGAAATTTATTTTTTGCATCATTTTCAATGAAATTAGGCCAAAAAATATATATATATACCAATCGAGGCATCCATTTTTATTATGCGCCCGGATCAATAGATCCGAGGCGTATATTTATATATTAAGCTTTTTCAAATGACACCAAGGTCAATGACCTTGGGACCTTGACTGTGACCTATATGCTAAAAATAGCTTTTTTCGAACTTTGTTGCTGCCGGGCGCATAGTGTTTCACAAATACATCTTGTTTGTGTGTATCATCTGACCTTAAATGAAAAAATAATATCGAAACTAAAAGGAAATTTTGAAAATGATATGTATATTGATAAACAACGGTACTTTGTTTTCAAAACAGAAAATTATCCTTTGAATTGTGGTTTTTAGAATTTTACATGATGTATTGGTGACTTCACAACATGATAGAACAGGCGCGGATCTACAAGGTTTGGGTGGACTTGGTGGAGCAGAACATTGTGCAGTATTCTCTTCTGTATACGAATTGGACGAATCAGACATGACGTCAGAGGTAGGTGATGACGTATTTGGAAGTATAGTCTCGTTATCAATGAATCCATTTTCCGAACAAGCCTTCTTCAAATCTGGCTCTGATTTTCTTTTTCCTAAGTTCGGAAAAGGACGTAAGTACTTATGTCTTAAAAATGCTTTTGTACATTGTATAAAAAAAATATGAAGAAGACAAAAAGTCATGGACAAAGTGAAAAAATCAAATGTGGGAAAATATATTTATCACATGTTTACATGTATCCTTTCATCCCTCTAGATATCAATCAATGGATTTTTTCGTCTATTCCACCGCCTGTGACAGCATAATTTTTTTTTTTAAATCGTGAAAGTGATGTTTTAAATGATATAGATTTATATTTTAAATAAAAACCAACGTAGAACTTTGATGTATAAAACATGTGATAAAAAAAATTTCCCATTATTTGCAATTGAATTGGAACTCATTGGATAAAATCATAGCCAACCACAAAGCATGGGAGATCCTATATATGTAAAAATATTTCAATAAACTAAAAATTGAAAATTAATTATTTATAATTAGTCAAAGATCGAAGATATGATACAAGTGAGTCGTGATTAGAGTAGGTTAGTTATGGTATGCATCTTAGTTGTAAAAAGTAATTATCTAGCAAACAACTGACAGGAAAATATCATTTCTTCTACAATGGACAACAGTGAAAGCAGAATCAGTCCTTATGAGTAATACACACACAGCATGTACCTGATATAAAAAGTTTTACAGTATTTAGAAATCCCGAAGATGTCTTCACTAAGTTTGAGACACGACGCATATCTAGCAAAAGAGGTAAATATTTGTGTGAAGAATAGAAAATCCAAGAACAGATATATATATATTAAAAGTGAGAGAGTGCTAATTTTAACGAAACAAAAATCAATAACAGTGTGTCTTTTGCTAAAAGTGTAAAAGTTTAATGAGACTTAATATGAAAAATAAGACATACTTGCAACTATTCTTTTGCGATCCGGATTAACTTCTTCCTCCGTCACTGGTTTTACCTCTTTATCTTCACTGTGAGAAATATCGCCATTCAGCTCTGTTATCTTTATTGAGTCTTCATCTTGTTTAATTGATGAAGCTCGGTCTTTCACCATTGATACCTTATGACAAATTGTTAAATACTTTTTGTAAAATCTTGCATACTACAACTTAAAGCTATGAATACTTTTTTTTCTCAAAGAGACACATTCCCGATCATGACGAGCACGTGGCAGGTGTGATCAGTCGGCAGGGGATGCTCACTCCTCCATGGCACACGATCCCACCTCTGATGTTTGGAAGGTCCGTGTTTGCTCTTCTCTTATTTTGCAGTGTTTTTAATGGACTTCTGAGCTTAAATAATGTTACTTATCTCCACATATTTCAGGTAATTTATAAGAAATATTCTCAAAAGAATTCCCCATGATTTATTTATGGATGTAGTTTTTAACATGTTGCATTTTTTTCCTTTTGCGAAGGTTCAAAGCTTTAAAAAACGCAAAAAACGGGGGAAAAAATCCTATCAAACGAGAAATCATGGGAAGTCATTTATATATTACCTTTTTACGAAGTTTACTGACGAGCCTGGACTTGGTCTCCTCCGAGAGTTCATCAATAGGGGAAGGACTGACAGGTGCTCGTGATTTGACCTTGAGAGGAAGGTCACAGAGACGGGGACAGTTTGTCTGAGCGTTCTGTTGGGACAGATCGAGGAAATGGAGGAACTCAGGCCAACTGTAAGGCAATTGTATAGCACGCTTATTTCAGTAAAAAGAACTCGGCCAACTGTAAGGCAATTGTATAGCACGCTTATATCAGTAAAAAGAACTCAGGCCAACTGTAAGGCAATTGTATAGCACGCTTATATCAGTAACAAGAACTCAGTCCAACTGTAAGGCAATAGTATAGCACGCTTACATCAGTAACAAGAACTCAGGCCATTACTGTAAGGCAATAGTATAGCACGCTTATATCAGTAACAAGAACTCTGGCCAACTGTAAGGCAATAGTATAGCACGCTTATATCAGTAAAACGAACTCAACATAGATTTAAAGAAACTATAAGTAAATGAATTATAAATTATGTATTCTTTGCTAAGTACATGTATGTAATAATATCATGTATACCTAACCATGTTGTTGCTTTCCTCATCACAGCGAGAAAGCAGAGCCTTAAACAGGGCGCCATAGAGCGGGGTCTGGTGCCGGGTACATACGTCCTCAACCTGTACAAACCACAGTTAATGTGAGTTATAATAAAGAAATCTTAATTGATGGATCGAGGTAAGACCAAGAATGATACAAAAAGGGCATGTTTCTTTTACTTTCTGATACTGAAAATCTATATGGACTCATTGTGCATTAGATAAATAAGTGTATATTAGGTATTTAAAATAGCATTGATTTTTATCTTTGAGCTTAATAAACTGATCTTAACGTCTTTTTTAGGCGTCATTAATCATCATTGATGTTTTTAACCACAGCAAATACAGTTAGACATATAGGTTAAATCATGCACTTTTCTTCACAATCAGAGGGTTAACATGAGAAACCATGAAAAAAAAATCCAATTTTCATTTCCTGTAATCGACCCAATAAAGCTACATTTCAGAGGAATTATTAAATGTTTGATATACCTGATTTGTTTTCCTATCGCAGCTTAGTATACAACTGCAGAGAATTGGGTGTTGTGGTCCACTGTTCTATAACTATAGTTACAAACATTCTGAATTCAAAGAGCTATGCATATTTTTGCCGCCACAAAAGTCATTGTTTGATATCTTTTAGACTGTGCTGTGTCGTACATGTCGTATATATTGTATGAGAAATCTATATCAACAAAAATATCGTTTAAAATTAGGTTCTTGGCAATTTTTGTTTTTGTTTTTGTTTTGTTTTTTTTTTTATGTTTTAATGCAAAAAATTAGGATTTCAAAGAAAATGTTAAGACTTGTTTTTAACACATTCTAGGTATCCAGATATGGAAACACATATGACGTCGGAACTTTGTTCAAAATTTTTTCTTTGTTTTACAGAAACAAGGCATAAAATGTTATTGCTGCACAAAGCACAGGCCTTGAAACTCCAAGTGTAAGTTTAGTAAAACAATATTCACAATTTTTTATTTTTACTTAATATTATACTTCATTTATTTAAAATTAAATCGGATATGCCCTTGCGCCGACGTTGTTTTGTTGATGTTTTTTATTACCTTGAATGGGACAGAACTATGACGTTATAATATGACGTCATAATGTGCATTTGCTATAATATACTGTGGGTAATAAGTATGTATAAGAAAATAAAATTGAATTTTTTCTGTACATAAAATATACAGTTTTTATTATCTGCATTTTTATTAGCTCATTTGCATAGAAAACCCATATCTTGCCTTAACTCACTTGCGTAGACGGAACTGTGTTCAATTTTTACTAAAACATTTTAGGGCAGAGACCTGCTCCAGAACAATATTCACTTTTTTATTTACTATTATCATTATACTCATATCAAAACATTTTTCTAAAACATGGAAATTTTAAATTAACGTCATTTTTATGACGTCATATCCAACATATGACGCCATGGCTGATGAAAATATCCAATCCTTTGGTCTGCATATATTTCCTTGCTCTAGCACATAATTGTATTTTTCTCCACTAAAGTTTGATTTTTTGGGCAAATATTGGTCATTACGGAATAAAGTCAAATGTCTTTTATCTGTTTACATTAATAAATATATACTTATAAAGTTTACCCAACCGAAACGAAGTGCAACAATTGCAATATTGATGGTACCTCTTTTCTTCTTATTTTGCCACTTTTATCCTTGTCTATTGACCGGAAGTTCTGTCGGAGAGCCTCGATGTCAAAATACTCTAGGTTGTCAATCAGTAGCTGTTCCAGGCGCTGAATAAGATCGGCGTCCCTCTCCTCTGACGTCATTTCCGCTTTGGTTTCCTGATCATTTCTTCTCTGCAAAGCTACCACACTATCTCTACCTATATAAATTCATACGATATATGTTTACCTTTGAAAAATCTACTTTAGAATAATGCAGAAAACTATATTTTGCTATAGTATCAGAGTGTTTACTTCAGTAAATCAAAGTTTTCACTGAAGAAAAGTAAAAAGTAGTTTCAACTATTGATTTCAAGTTATATTTTTTTTCTTGTTCATATATGCAGGTTTCAAATATTAAATGAAAATATAACCTTTCATTATTATGTCTCATGCAATTTATTTCTTAAACTTTTATGTAATTATGTAATTAAGAATATTCTTCAAAATCTCATAAAAAAAACCTGCAATAAGGGATTACTATTTTTCATATTATGGTAAGTCAAAGTATCAAAGTGCTTACTATAATTAATGAAAGAAAACTATAGTTAAATTAAATTAATTTTCGCAAGGGTATTTTTTTGGTGGGGTCTATAAATTTTTAAAGAAAAGGAACATTATAATTCACTAAAAAATTATTCTGTAGGAGAGAACAGTTTCCTGGGAAAAAATCGCTTAATTATTGTTGTTTATTAGTTATTTTATACTGTAAGTTAATACTAGTTAACTTTGAAAGTTGGTCCAAGCAATTTTTCCTTTATTATCCTACCTCGTTTGCATGAATTTAGTTTAGAAGTATTAGAGAACAAACTTGTCCCTACATAATATATTATGATATTTTGATAGGTGATCCGTGGAATGATTTGAAGTAGAAGTTTAGGTGATGTTACAAAAAGGTTATAGAAATTAGGAAACTAGATTTGTTTTGTCATTAAGTTTGGATTCCTATTTTCATATGCAGCCTGCACACAGAGTAATTGATTGTAGTGAAATGTTCTTTCTTGGTCCTAAAGTATCTATTAAATTAACTTTCATGAATTCTATCATCATATTTGGCAAATATATCAAATATATCCCGAAAGTCCTTGAAAAAAATAGCCCATTTTAAGCTTAAACTTAACAATATTTTGGTAATTAATAAAAATTAACATCAGAGACTCCTTTTTTTATTTCATTTTCTGAATATATGAAAAAAATTTAACCACTTTGCTTAAATTCAGAGAAATGTCATTACTTTCAAATGATTTTGTTGCTTTTTAAATTTTTAACACCAGAAATATAACATTTTTTGAGTGCAGAAAGTTCAAATAATTGACAAGTAATTTGAAACTTTTTTGTTGTCACAATTTTTTATATGACTATTTTTATTTTAAAAAAAAAAGATGTTTGATCTAATAATGCATTTGGATAAAAAAATATTAAAGGAAAAACTTTGAAAATTGATTGATGTGTTAGACTTAATAAATGTATTATATTTGGCGTGTACGATATTTAGCGGAAAATGATTTTTAAACAAGTTAGCGTAAATTTGATTAAGCGCATTTCTTGATGTTCTTATTCATGTATCAATGTTTAAGACATTTAGCGATGTACTTGAATTAGCGGAAGTATCTTTCCACCAAAAGCACTAAAAAGAATACACCGCCAAATGTAATACGTTTACAGTAATATATATAGTGCAAAAAGTGTACATTTATTGCTCTGTAGTGCATAAAGAAGTGCACAGACCCCCCATTATTTGTTTTGATTTTTGTATTAAGCTATGTGTGTAGATTCTGAAAATGTACTTGACAAAAATTTTTCAACACTTTTGATGACAGGAATCAGCCTCCTTAAGTTGGGACTCGTGTGCGATAACTTTTTACCAACGTGTTTTGTATTAGGAAAAAATGTCAAAATTTGCTTTAATCTATATCAAAAATTGTGAAAGGAAAATCTAAGTTTTGTTAAATCAAAAATTCTAATTTTTTTTTTAATTTCTTAAATGCATATATTTAATTTAGTATACAAATCATCTGATTGATAATTGATATGATAACACTATTGAAGCCTGCACAAAGGTCAATATCCTAAATCAATGTAACAAAAATCAAACTGTCGTATTCTTTACATCGATTAAAATGAATACTTGTAATTTATTTTTAACGTAACGTTTTATTTTTTAAAGAAGTAAATCAATTTCAAATTGATATATTGAGCATGATTTTACAATTTCTCTGATTGATCGATGATATAGATACAAAAACACAACAAACTATGCATAATCTTTGAGATAAAAAATGATTTAATGATGATTTTTATGCTTCCTTGTGTTTAATTTTAAAATTAATTCACTAGATTTACTCCATTATGTAATTTTTAATCACACACTTTTTTTCATTCACACAAATTCTTTAAAAAGATTTACAAAATGAATTTTTAGATCTTTTTAATATAGGAATATAATGGCTAGTTTAACCCTGCACAAATCAATAAAATTATTTTTAAGATATTGGCGTGAAACCCTTTTCTTTATTTGGAGTCGATTTCAGGATTCTCCATAATACTTTTTACTGACGATATATATAATCAGTGTTCCCTGCTTATCTGTTACTCCTCCATTTAATGGTAATTTTAAATGGGATAAATCATTTTCTTATCACGAGTTCCACGATATATATTTTAAAAGTCAGGACTGCATAGCGGTCAGCTTATTGTAAATATTAAAATAATTTTTATCTAATATCTCAAACCTATACAGGTATAAAGGTTTAGGTGTACTTTTCTGACCATTCTTTATTTTAGTAAAACAGAAAAATTTTGTAGGGTTTTGGGCGTTTTTTTTTATTAATACAATGATTTGATTTTAGTTTTGTGCAGTCTTTGCTTTTAACAAATTCAAATTTCTTGATTTATAGTTTTGGCTTAACCAGTAATTGGTAGCCTCTAAGGGAAAGCAATGAATATAGGGCGGATCAAGTACGTGATTCCAATTATTCTCTATTAAATTTATCTTCCTCTTTCCCACATTAAACAGAAGCTACTAATAATATGAAAGAAATGTAGTAAAAGGCATGACTTTATTTTTGATTGATTAATATTAATTATTCTAATTGTGTTTTAAAATGGGCGGAGTGAGGCTGATGCCTCGAACCTATTTTCAACCAACATACAAAAAGTTCCTTATTTTATCTCAATTCTACACGATTAGAACGAAAATTAAACAGATCATGATAAAGAGGTGTTTAAAATAACCAGCTTTTGATTTACTGCCGCTAGTGACCAATTTAAGTTTTAAAGACACATCACCTGACTTAAGATGTGCCTCTGTTAGAAATCTGTACAGTTTGTCAAAGTCTATACCCCTCACCTGATTTAAGATGTGCCTCTGTTAGAAATCTGTACAGTTTGTCAAAGTCTATACCCCTCACCTGACTTAAGATATTCCTCTGTAAGAAATCTGTACAGTTCGTCAAAGTCTATACCCCTCACCTGACTTAAGATGTGCCTCTGTTAGAAATCTGTACAGTTCTTCAAATTCTATACCCCTCACCTGACTCGAGTTGTGCCTCTGTTAGAAATCTGTACAGTTCTTCAAATTCTATACCCCTCACCTGACTCGAGTTGTGCCTCTGTTAGAAATTTGTACAGTTCTTCAAATTCTATACCCCTCACCTGACTCGAGTTGTGCCTCTGTTAGAAATCTGTACAGTCGAGTTGTGCCTCTGTTAGAAATCTGTACAGTTCTTCAAATTCTATACCCCTCACCTGACTCGAGTTGTGCCTCTGTTAGAAATCTGTACAGTTCTTCAAATTCTATACCCCTCACCTGACTCGAGTTGTGCCTCTGTTAGAAATCTGTACAGTTCTTCAAATTCTATACCCCTCACCTGACTCGAGTTGTGCCTCTGTTAGAAATCTGTACAGTTCTTCAAATTCTATACCCCTCACCTGACTCGAGTTGTGCCTCTGTTAGAAATCTGTACAGTTCTTCAAATTCTATACCCCCTCACCTGACTCGAGTTGTGCCTCTGTTAGAAATCTGTACAGTTCTTCAAATTCTATACCCCTCACCTGACTCGAGTTGTGCCTCTGTTAGAAATCTGTACAGTTCTTCAAATTCTATACCCCTCACCTGACTCGAGTTGTACCTCTGTTAGAAATCTGTACAGTTCTTCAAATTCTATACCCCTCACCTGACTCGAGTTGTGCCTCTGTTAGAAATCTGTACAGTTCGTCAAATTCTATACCCCTCACATGACTCGAGTTGTGCCTCTGTTAGAAATCTGTACAGTTCTTCAAATTCTATACCCCTCACCTGACTTAAGATGTGCCTCTGTTAGAAATCTGTACAGTTCTTCAAATTCTATACCCCTCACCTGACTCGAGTTGTGCCTCTGTTAGAAATCTGTACAGTTCTTCAAATTCTATACCCCTCACATGACTCGAGTTGTGCCTCTGTTAGAAATCTGTACAGTTCTTCAAATTCTATACCCCTTACCTGACTTAAGATGTGCCTCTGTTAGAAATCTGTACAGTTCTTCAAATTCTATACCCCTCACCTGACTCGAGTTGTGCCTCTGTTAGAAATCTGTACAGTTCTTCAAATTCTATACCCCTCACCTGACTCGAGTTGTGCCTCTGTTAGAAATCTGTACAGTTCTTCAAATTCTATACCCCTCACCTAACTCGAGTTGTGCCTCTGTTAGAAATCTGTACAGTTCTTCAAATTCTATACCCCTCACATGACTCGAGTTGTGCCTCTGCTAGAAATCTGTACAGTTCTTCAAATTCTATACCCCTCACCTGACTCGAGTTGTGCCTCTGTTAGAAATCTGTACAGTTCTTCAAATTCTATACCCCTCACATGACTCGAGTTGTGCCTCTGTTAGAAATCTGTACAGTCGTTCACAATCTTTGCCCCTCACCTGACTTAATGAGGTTCGACCCTGAGCTTTTGAGCAGATTTTGGTCTGGACCTTTATTTCTAAAATTCTGCATCCATTTTAAGTTTTAACATTAAATCTGGATTCTATAATGCAAATTGATCTATATTTAATGAAAAAAAAAACGCGATTAAATTCCATTCAAGTAGGATTAAGCCGGGAACTACATTTTGTGGCGGAAGATTTTTTAGAAGAAAATGATCAATTTTTTTCTTTTGAACTATATACATGTATAGCACTGTTAATTTTAGATTCCTATTTTTCCATGCTGGTTGCAGACAAAGCTGTTTTTTTTTAAGTGAAATGTGTTATGCTGGATCTGAAATATCTATTTTATTATTACTTATAAATTCTTTCAAGAAATTGTGACATATATAGTAAATATATTATGAAAGTCCAGGAAAAAATTGAACCAATTTTAACATGCCGGTAAAATTGACACTTTTTGAGTAATATCGAAAAATATACAACATATACCCCCACTTTTTATGTTCTTTTCTGAATATTTAAGATAATTTGACCTGTCTGCTTAAATTCAGTAAAAGTTTAAGATTTTAAACTAATTTTCTTGCTTAATAAATTTTCAAATTCAGAAAATCACAGTTTATGAGTGCAGAAAGGACAAATAATTGATTATTCGAAGCAATTTGAAACTTTTTCTTAGTCATAATTTTAAAGGTCTTTTTTAAATAGACTTGTAGTTTATTTTGTTCTATACTTTATTTGGATAAAAATATTGGAGGGAAAACGTCGAAGATGTAATTTTTTTTTATTAAGGCACAAATTTCAGTGCATAAAGGTCATATTCAATGTACTGTAGCGCCAAAAGGAGCATATTGACCCTCATTTTTTGATTTGATTTTTAATTAAGCTATGTGTGTAGAAACTAAAAATATACTTGACAAAAAAAAGTTTAAGACTTTAAATATCAGGAGTCAACCTCCGTTAGAAATCTGTACAGTCGTTTACAGTCTATGTCCCTTAACTGACTTAAGATGTGCTTGTCTAAGTTCCTTAACTGACTTAAGATGTACTTGTCTAAGCTCCTTAACTGACTTAAGTTGTACTCTTGTGAGAAATCTGCACAGTCGTTAAAAATCTATGTCCCTCATCTGACTTAAGATGTGCTTCAGAAAAAAAATCTGTACAGTTCTTCAAAGTCTATGTCCCTCACCTGACTTAAGGTGTGCTTCTGTTAGAAATCTGTACAGTCGTTCGCAGTCTATGCCTCTGTTGTCTTCAAACCGGTCAATCAAAAACTGAGTTATCCGGCTAGGCAATTTTATCTGATTATCCTGAAAATATTGATATGTAAACGTATACAAACGTAAACGAATCTATGGAAGCCCAAAAATGCAAATCAAAAATATATTTTAAAAAATTTAATATACAAACAAGATTGTAAAATGCAAAAAGAAAATGTTCAATAAAAACTCAAATTAAATTAAAAAACGAAAGTAATAAATAATTTTAGAAAATTAGTGAAAAGGACAAATCAAAACTAAATAAGAACAGAAATTATTTTACAAAATAAATTTATGTATATTTTCTTCTCTTTTTTGGCTATGTTGTGAACTTGTTACTTGTACTTTTTACTGAATGCAAAAATGTAAATTTAAATCAAGTTTTTCAACTACATGTTTATGAAAGGTGAACAGATAACTTTTGTATTTTTTAGATCAATAAAAATACAGATTTTTTTTTTATATTTACATTTTGTATCGTTACTTTCTTTTGAAATGTTTTTTTAAGTCAGTAACTTTACCTGGAAATCTTGATACAACTCCTTCTGTAACTTTACCTGGAAAGCTTGATACAACTCCTTCTGCGTAATCCGGGTCTCCACATTGCTAAAATGACGGAGACTCATGTGAAGAGCACGCATGCGCTGTCGACTGTACTCCTTCAGGTTATCAGATAAAATTTTCTGAAACTTTTCTTCAGGGTTTATTTGTTCCTGTGGTAGATTTACTGGACGAAAGAAAATTATTTTTATATCAGTTTTCTCATTCATGCTTAAGGCTTTTGTATGAAAGAAAAGCAAACTGTAAAAGACATTGCAATGATATGTTCTTTAATTGTGGAAAACAAAAGATGTGAGAGTGTAAAACAAATAGTCATTTGATAATCGAGAGAAACAGAGGCTTGGGAAATGAAGGATTGGTGTGTTTTATGTTGTATAGAAACTACATTTAAAATTTCTTTGGTTATGAGGAAATGCCACGCTGTATGTTACATATATGAACAGAGGAAATGCGGGATTTTATATAGTGGATGTTGCACATAGGAGACTTGCGTTGGAAACTAAGGTTTAATGAGCTATAATAGAGGCAACCTACTGCAGAATTAAGAGTTAGTGGGATGGATATTGTACTAAAGCTACCTACTAAGAAATTATGGGCTGATAGATTGGATGTTATCGAGTGGCTACTTACTTGGGGAATTAAGAGTTGGTGTACTGGATGTTGCGATCTCGGTTGCTTTTGGAGTTCTTCTGACCTTCTTTTTCCCGGTCTAAAAATATTTATCTATTATGTAACTCCTTCTATAGCACATTGGCCAAATAAATTTTGAAAAATCAAAGGATCAGTAGTATGTTTCAAATCATTGGACGTCAATTGGATGTCAAATGTTTAGAAAAGTTTACCAAGTCTGAAGGGTCAACAGTGTTCTTTCCACGTCCGCGGCTGTTTTTATTGCGTCCCCGTGACGTCACTGTATCTCGTCTGCTGGGAATCCCCATCACACTTGACTCGCTGCAGGTGCTGTCCTTAAAAGACAAGGAGAATCTTCGCCGATTAACAATTACAAGAATTAAAGATGGTTTATTGTCAGCATGAAAGTTGTTGTTCAACTGAAAGGGATTAATCAGACTCCGGTAACATAAAATTTTCATGATCTCAATTTTGATCTCGGTCTCACTGTTCCACTTATATGCAAACGTGAGACGGATATCAGAAGTGAGCTCGTTACATTACATGGTCCCAAACACAGAATTCAGACTAAGGTATACTGAACTCTAGACTTTTTGATCTTCGAGAGAAATACTGTTACGAACTGCACATTTTTTAAAACAAACATCTTCAGCTTTAATATTGAAAGCGATTCGTTTTTAAATTCATTTTGATGACACATTTTATCCTTTGTAAAAACTAGAGGTACTTTGAGCAATATGAGTTCACTAAATGTACCCCCGCCTCCCATATGCATATAATGGCAGTGTCCATGTTTTGCTATGGGAAACCCCAAATATGTGTCGGATCAAAAAGTAAAATAGGAAGTGCGCAATGGCATTAAGTAATAAGGATTTTCTGAAAGTTTCATCAAATTTCATTCAGTGGTATTAGAGGAGTTGTGGATAAGAGATGGGTACCCCAAAGCGTAACAGACAGACAAACGGACGGACATCCCGATTACCATATACCCTCCGCTTTTCAAGCAGGGTTATAATGATAAAAACATTCACTTTGAATACTTATATCAAAATTCATCTGAAAAATCAGGTAGTCGAGACCGAACAAAATCTACTAAAGACTCTCATAACTAACTATTAGTGATTAGATGGATGTTACTTCATAGATGATAATATCTGTACACTGTTTATAATATTATATAACATACTGAATTGTGTAAAGATGAAAATTACATAGGCATTTAATAAGTTAATTATTACACAGTTTTATTATTTTAATATTGAAGGTGGCATTTTATTTTTGATAAGATTGTTATTTGTACATGTAGCAATTTTTAAACAATGACAGCTAGAGCGTAATTATAAATCAAACCGCGATTTGTAATAATTAGTATGCTATCTCTGTTTGAAATGTTTATTTTCGTTTGTATGTTTTTTTTCAAACTTTTATAAATCAATAACGTGCTGATTCTCAGGTTTTCCTAATCAGACTTGAATTTATGTTAAGCTTGATATATATTTTTGAATTATCAAATACGTAATTCAATTTTCCAAACTATGGAATTTTCATTTTCCCTTTTTCATTTTTAAATACCATTATTGTGATCAATTAGCTTTTTGACGTTTAATTTATAGAGGTCATATTTATATTTTTGAACAAAATTCACCTCTGATGTTTCCAATTATATATATATTTTTCTTGGAAATTATTAAAAGAAAGACTTAATATGGTTGCAAATTAATATGTTTCTAGTCATAAGCAATTTAAAGAGACAACGTTGGAAAACTAAGTAGCGCTTTTAATGAATAAAAGTACAAACACGGACATCAGTTTCAGAGGTCTGTGTTAGCTCCGCTAATGATTTGTATTGTATGAATGGGATTGAGCTTGAATACTGTTCTATATATTTCATTCTAATTTGCATATAATCGTTTTCAAACATCTCCGTTTATTTTGAAAATGGTTTATTTTCCTTTTTAACATTAATTCATTAAAATAACATGATTTCAAGTAAGACAAGGAAACACATCTCTCTTCTTCTTCTTCTTCCAGTAATGTGCCTGGCACCAAGGTTGGGCATTATCGCACATTATCGCTCTCTTCTTGTAATAAAATATTGACAGACTCTTTCCAAACCTTTAAGATATGAAAATCTATATGTATAATACACTTTTTTATACTGTTTTCAATTGTATAGTTAAATAAAACTTTTGAGTAAGATAGTTTGCCTAAATATTTAACGCATACATTTGAGTTTATAATACAATAGATATATTCATGAATTTTATACTGTAAATTGATTATATTTTGCGTGTAGTATTTAGCGGAAATTGAATAAACAACAAGTTATCGGGAAATTAGATTTAGCACATTTCTTTATATTATTTTTTCTATATGTATGTACAAGACATTGACGTTGTGCTCGAATTAGCGGAAGTTGCTTCCCGCCAAAACTGCTCAAAAGAATTCGCAGCCATATGTAATACGTCTATACAGACTTTCTATCAAAGTCTCGTGAAAATGTGAAGGATTTGGATTACCTGTAAAACACTAAAGCTACAGTGTGCGTGTTTTCAGAACCAGTTACGCAAATGAAACTGTGAATTCATAAAATCAACAGTACTTTATGTAAGGGAACTTAAAATCACAAATTTGAGAAATTTCTTAATAAACAGTATGGCTCTTGAGCCAAATAACGTCTTGTTGAGACTGGAATTGAAAGTTAAACGAGTACCTTTTAATCTCACTCTCACGTCTAGCACCATACGTGTATATGAAAAGTGAAACTGAGTTCAAAAGTTGCCGACAAGAATCATAAATCGCTAAAGCAACAAGTTAAGAATCTCTGAAACCTGAAGTCACATGAATCTAAATGCTCATAATTTAAGCTAGAATTTAAGTACTAATGTATCCTGAAAACAAACTATAAACTGACATATTATCACTAACGATCTTTGCTTCCCAGAAACACGTCGACTATATAAGTAAATTTATCATACCTGTGACGACAAGCGAAAAGTTTTTCGCGTGACTCGATTTTTCGCTTGTTTACATATCTGCTCCAATTTCCCGTGTCCGCCTTCTTTTTCACTCGGATTTGAACTTTGACACTTGATTTGAATTCGGTACAATGCGTCCGGGGAAAGTTTAGTAAAATTATCCGACCGAATGTACGATTCGATGCTTTCCATATCTTTTCTGAAAGTTACAGAAATACAACCAAAAATGTAGACTGAAATTCACATATTATTCCTTCACGCGTCGGAAAATATCCATTGAATCTATTTTGTTTTAAGAAATGTCCTTATATAAGCTTTATATAACACATTTTTGTAGGTTTTTGTATTTACGCAATTAAAACGTAATGAAAAAAAACTTGTCCCCTCAAAGCATATTGGATTCACTAATGAGAAAAAAGTTGTGATTAATATTCCCAATATGAACAGTAAATAAATATAATGTCAACTAGTAAGCAGTATTGTTAGTGATGCGAATGACCTTTGACAATCCACATCAAATAAAATTAAATTCTACACAAATATTGCATTTTCATTATGGTAAATTATCGCCCGGACTGAAAATTACCGTTGGATCCCCTGTTGTTTAACATCCGGGCATCACAGGAATTGCTTTACCACGCAACACCCGATAGGCTCATGTTCAAAGTCCGCGACATATTGTAATAAAGATACGGATCATAACGGGGACAGTTAACGCCACAAGAAATTCTCATCCAGACTCCTAATATTATCTTAGCATGTTGACATGTAAACACCAACGCTTTCTCTTTGAAACCATTACAAAGTAAAAGATGGTCAGGATTAACGTTGCAAAAAGAAACTTTGCAGATCTAAGATTTTTTCTTGGAAAATAATGATTTTCTTTATAAAAGGTTGTTCATTTTCAAAGTAACTTGGAATATTTTACTGGTGTAAAGATTAAAATGAACCATCCCAAAAAAGGAATCTTTAATTGGTTTCAAAAATCTTGAAATCTTTTACTTGAGTAAAAAGGTAAAACAATTATAGGAAAGCATCACAATACGTCACTTATTTTCTATTTATGATTACAGGAAGCAAGTCTATCTAATAAAAATAGTGTAGAGAGAACATACGCTGGATATAGGCCTTCATGTACTAATGCTTTCTCTGATCTCACCTAGTCATCAAATGTCAAGAGATATTTGTATTTCCATGTATTTCTAGCAATGTCCTTTGCATTACCTTTCTGAAAAAGTGCCTAAAGACGATCTACACAAAACCTTTGAAAGTAAAGGAGTGTAGTTTTATTTAAGCATTTGCTAATGCTTGATATATATTTAGTTTTAAGGTGGAAATTTATATTGACAACTATTTGTTAATAATACATGTATTCATCTTTATAAGCCTTTTATATTGCCGTGATCTATATCGTGTCATATGTTTTACGGCATCCTCGCAATATTTAATGCATTTAAGACGAGAATAGAGATGTTTTGATAATTAACCCCTCAATATTTATTCAGATTCAGTGACTCCTTCTTGTATCATCATTGGGAAAGCTTTTGTGATTAAGAGGCAGTCCACCCAAAAACCAGGCAGTATTGTATTAATAGGCGGCACATCGAATGTGATGAATTTTTGGTATTTTATTAAAAACAATATCAATGTAGTCCAAAAGGAATAATGTAACTGAAGATTTGTTTGAAAATTGCTTATTTAGTAAAATATCCTTTTGTTTTGTGTTTTTGAATTCCCCTATATAAACCATTGAAAGTAGGTTAGAAACAAAGAGCTGTAATTTCTAATACAATTTTAACAGGACTATAATTCACACTTATATAAATCTAGAAATATTTCATCTTTTTGTTTAAAAAATAAAATCATTGGGAAAAACACTTTTAATAGAAGTTTTCTGGCAAAATATATAGACGTTTTAATGAAAATTTGCGATGCAAGAGTTATCTCCCGTGGCATCGGTAAATCTGCTAATCACATTTTTATCGGAATCCCAGTGAAATATTTAGAATCGATACACTAAAGAAAATTATTAAACAAAAAATAAATAATTTATTTTCAAAATATAATTCATTTTCGCCTCAAAACATAATATTTAGATTAAAATTGGCTAGAATATTCAAGTTAAATCCACGTTTCCATTGATGTATCAGTGACGTCATAATATTGCGTCACAATGAAATAGTTACAAGTTTTCCAGAGAAGTTCGTAAATTCTTTACGTAAAATGTAAAGAAAAATATTGTTTTAAAAATGATTTTTCTTTTTCTGTTTAATTACTCTTCAGAGTGCATTATACTGAATGTTAAATAATATTTTAATATCAAAATGTATTTTACACTGTACAAGGGCGGCGTCTCAGCAAGATGACGTTTTGATAAGTAATTTTATACATGTCTGAGAACAAATTTTTTAAAATTGATTTACCAGGATATGCGTTAAAATAATTAATGAAGTGTTTATAATGAACATTTCTTATAAAATTGGGAATCAATGATGAATGCTTTAGATTTACGCAACATTTAATTTAA